TCTCAGTTGAGATTTGCAATAATGTTGCTGTAAAAGACCTGAAGCTCCTACAGCTCCATTGTGGTAGTTTTCATTCCTTAAAATGTTTTCCTTGGCAGTGCAACACTGGTATCCTTTGCTGTTTATTTTCCTCGGTTTTTGTTGTTTCTCCACATCTTTTACAGAGTTAGTTTAAATAATCGTTCATTTCTTACCAAGGTTGGGAACCAATAAAATATAAATTCTGTATCAGCAATAAAAGATATAAAGGCTTGAAGCATGCCTAGCATTTCCCTTGCCCCCTCCATCCCCCCAAAGCAATTAATGTATAACTTAATATCTTAGTAAAGACCCATTAGGGCAGTTCTTCAGATTGTGAACATCTATGACATTTTATCAGATTATATAAATCTAAGGCTAATTCCATTGACCATAGTGGGCCTCAACCATTTCACAGAAGGCTGTGAACCTTAGAAAGTCTGTGGAAGTATTTCCTGGGAATAGCTCTGCGTATCTAATTAGTAAATTAGTCTGCTCCCTTTCAGCAGTGTTCCTACCACTTAGTGGCGGCTGCTAGTGACCTTTGTGAAATAAGATCTGTACCAACCAAAGATCTTTGTGGATAAATTTCTTTGCTCATAAAACTTGGCACTCTAAATGGCATCTTTGTGATACATTGATTATCTTTTATTTATTTGAAAATGTACAGCATTTGTATATGAGTGCTATATAGCTAATCTGGTCTATTGTAACTAGACTGTGGGTTTTCTGCCTTTGGCTCATCCAGATCTTCCTCAAAGGTCCCTTGGATTTACATTTTGCTGGGGAGATCCATGACAAGGACATATGAAATCTCTTTTGCACCTTTGAACCATAGGACATCCCAGAGTTAGTACTTACCCAGCAAGGTAGCAGAGGTGTTAGCAGCTGTGTACTGGGACAATACTGCCTTTGGTGGAGCACTTATGGAGGTCCACTGAGACAGCATCTATAAAGTAGTAGAGTTGGAAACACTGCATGGTCTTCCTGTGGGTAAATGCCCTCGTCCAGCCTGTCCCCTTGTGAAAAGTACACCTCTCAGGGCTGGCTTCCATGAATCCTGCTCTTTGTGGGTGTTGTGTTCATTGCTCAACTGTGCTAACCACGGTGTTTCCTCAGAGGTAGGTGGGTAGGTAAAGAGCATGTTGCAAGAAGTGTTTTCTAGCTATTAGTTTTGGCCTATTTTGTTTACTGGCATCTGGACTGTTTGTAAATACCAAAATAAAAAAAAGGTTTCCAATTTTAGACAACTGTGTTGAGCCCTCGGAGTGGTTTTTGGATATCCTCAGAGGAAGTATGGATTATTGCTGCAGTAAACAGGACTAGTTTTCTCTTGTGCTTGATAGAGGTTTGTAATGTAAATATAGACATGTTCTTACTTGAATTAACTGATCTCTAATCATCCGCTCTTTTAGGATAGTGAGATTGTCCCCAGAGAAGTCAAGGTGTGGGTGATGTGTTTGCCTGGAGTGTTGTAGTGCCACCCCACTTGCTCAGTGCTTTAGCTGGCTGCATGGTGTTTGCAGACTGCATGGGCTGCATCTTCTGTTTGGTGGGCTCATGCTCTGGGCAAGTTCCTCCTTGCAGCTGACCAGAGCAGGAGTCCCACCAAGAGCTGAGCTTGCCTTGGTGTAATCTGGAGCAGGTGAGGACATGCTGGAGCACTGGGCAAAGGAAGATAGTTAGGTGGCACGCACATGTCTGAGCACACTCCCTAGAGAGTACTCTGCATCTTGGTGGGCACTGGCAGCCCTGTACAAAAGATTTCAGGCCATTCTTTATTCCTCGGCACAGACCAGAGGTGAGAATATCATCCTTTCCCTGGATTAGGTTGGTCTTGAATGGTACAGCCAGTTATCACATCTTACTCTAGGAAATCAGCATTGCAGGTGAAGATGACACGTCTGCTTTTGTAGTGATACTGAATGCGTGTTGAAGCCATGAGCACACGTAGGACTCAGTTATTCAGGCTTTTTCATCAACCGAGTTTGACCGCTTCACTACCAGAACTCTTTAAGAAAACAAACAATTTCTGCATTCCTGGGGTTTATTCCATTAACTGTGGGGACGGGATTCTGGTTAAAATAATCTGCCTCTGTAAAGCAGAGAAGTTGACCCTGTTTGTTCTGCCTGGAAAGATGCCAGTTAGTGCTCTACTTGAGTCAAAATTTAACAAAGGCTTGAATGTTCCTGTGCCTGTTGCTCAACAAGATTGTTTATCAATTTACAGGGAGGCCATGGTGCCTTTTCAAAGTGCTGCTGGAGGCCTGCCAGAAGTAGTAACAGAGACTGCGCTCATTGTTTAAATGCCACTGGATGTGAGAATGGCAGACTGATGCCTGTTTTCCTTTCATTTTATGATAATCTAATTGAAAGAGATATATAATTCCTTGTTATGTCAAGGAAGTTGTTTCTCCAGCATCTGGTACTTCTCTGATTATCTACAAATGGTATCTGAAAATTAATAGGAGATCCAGCTTTCATGGAAGCAATACTAGTGGGAAGTGTTGCCTGCACGAAGCCCGAGGAGACATCACAGTTTGCAAGAACTGTCTTTGTCAGTGAACATATAATTTTCCTTTTTTTTCTTTTTTTTTTTTTCCTAACATCCTAGTAAATTACAGGCTTTGGTTATGATTTGAATAAATGTGTTCTACAAATGTTGTAGCATCTGTATGCTGCTGTTTTTACTGCAGCCGTTGTACAGGTCATTAATCTGATCTCACGTCATAAAAATTTCTCCACCCTCTTCACGAGTTTCTTTGTTATCATAACACTTTCCAATACCTTGGCGCCTAACTCTGCTACGCTGCCTTATAATTACCAGGGGTAGAACAACTGCTCTTTTATCCTCGTCGCTCTTGGCTCCCTGTGGTGGTGCTGCCCAGCCCCGCGCTCGCCGCATCTCTGCAGCAGACTGCACATCCAGGAGCTCCGGTGGGCTGGTCCCAGTGGCTGGAGAGGCATCTGGCCAACAGGCCCTCTCCTCTTATCCTCCTCGGCTGCTCGCCAGCACGAGCTCATGGCACGAGCCTGGAGAGGGGAAAGGGCACCCGCCGATGCTCCTGCCTCTGATACTTGGTTTGAACCTTGCTCATCACTGCCGAACACCTCCGCGCAAGTGTTGTTGCCATCCAGTGCTGTGCAAGGGGAATGGTTGAGCGAACCCCTCCTAAGCAAGCTGAGGGGAGCCGGCAGCTTTGCCTGGGCTGCGGGGCAGGTCTGTAGCAGGCAGCAGTGGGGGTCATCTAGCTGTTGGTAAGCTTATGGGAAGTGAGCACTGTTGGGAAAACAATGGGGTTTGGAAAGAATAATTTTGGGGAATTTACCTGACCACAGATCTCAAAAGGTATTCAGGAAGGAAGAGCTCATGGGACCATGTCATGGGCATGGTTAGTGCCTGGTAAATTCAAAGGGTGTAGTCTGAAGTAATAATTGCCACCAAAAACCAGGTGAATTTTTCATTATCTTCACCACCTTTTCATAACTGGCAAGAGGACAGTGCTTAAGTTTTGCTGACCACTGGGCAAACACTTTCCCAAGGTGACATAGCAGGCAGGGGGAGGAGGATCTGGTTACCTCCAGGAAAAGGACCTGAGACTAAGCCAGGTGGCATTTTCCAAGGAGGGATTGTGGTTCTTGTTCCTGTGGTATGTTCTGACTCCTGTGATGATATGCTTCCCTCCATTTTTTCCAGGGCAGCAGCCTCCGTGGGCCCATAGCACAGGGATCTCAAAAGAGGGTGGCTGTCAGCCAGGCACCACCATCAGCCTCACAAGGTGGCTTTGCTCTGCAGATTGGCTCCCAGACAGGGCTGGCTCGTGCCACTTCAGCCCGTCACAGTTTACTTCCCTAGCCCTATTGTCTAAGCCTTGGCCGAACTACACCTTTTTCCAAGAATCCCAATAACCTCATGTTTTTCAAGCAGTGAGCCATGGCAAGGCTGAGGCACACTAAGCCAGCAGCGCTGTCCTTTGCCAGCACCGTGGCATTTAGCAGTGTAACACCAACAGCTTTGAGTCTCCATTTTCTGTAAGTTGAAAGAGAAATGAATGGCACTTGATGTTTACAGAACACATATGTCAGGCTGCCTGAAAGCTTATGTCTAACTGCACTGGAATCTGTGTTGAGAAGTCAGTATTTCAGCCAGAGATTGCTAGCACAACTGACTGTAAAGCAAATGGTTCTGCTGTCCTGCATGGGTCTGAGAACAGGGTGTAAGAAGCAAAGCCCATGTTCAGTTTATCATGGGTTTGTGATTAGAAACGCTTGGAAATGGACTTAGCACTTGTCCCTCACTTATCATCTCCACTTTCTCCATGCTTCACTTAAAGTTGGCTTGAGTGCTTACCTCTTGGTGTAGTGGGAAATGAGATGCTTTAACAGTGGCCTGAATTTGAGCTTCAGCTTGAAGACTAACTGCAATTTCACATGAACTTAAGTCAAACTAAGACCCTGCTTGAACCATATTGGGGAATCTCTTCCTTCAGAGCTGCATCCCTTGACCTAGGAAACAGTAATTTTCTTTTCCTTTGTCAACCCCAAGTAGGGACTGGTCAGATGAACTCAGAGATCTGGCTGACATTGGGGATACAAGAAGACCACGTCAAGCCAGAGGCATGAGAAATGCTGCCATCTTCAGCAACCCCAGTCTGTGGTGAACATATGTCCTAGCTTCAGGTCCCTCTTAAACTTTATCGGAAACTTTATGTTAATGCTACATAGCCATCTATTGATGTTTTGCTCTATATACTGCACCAAGTCTAGTAGAGTTAGCTTTGCAAGAGCTGGATGCCCTGAGTTCAGTGAAAATACTTGTATAAGAGCAGGGAGCACATGCTATTTAAGGCATTATAATGATATATAGTCACCCCTTTGAAAGAATGAGTATGGCCCCAACATTAGTTTAGATCACAATTTTAATGTTTAAAAACTATAGAGGTAACAGAGAGATTATAGAACTTAATACAATTTTTTTTTTCATTTATTTACACACAGAAACTGAAAATCTGCATCGTTTATTTGGATATGAGCAGCACAAAGTATGGTGATGTTAGCAGGAGCAAAATATTACCGATGACTCACTTCAACAACCTATTAGAGACGAGCTCATATCAAGCATACATCATTCAAACAGTATTGTTTATACTGGATCTGGGTGAGCCTTAACATACCCTAGGACACTAAAAACAGGTTTCTATAAACAAGTTAAAGTTCAAGTCTTGTGGAAAAATACCTTTACAGTTTATATTTTGTTGGCTATAACACTGAAAACAAAACGTACACTTGTATTAATTTGAAAAGCTCTGTAGAAGTAACTGCATATAGTTTTTTTCCTCAAATTTGTGCTCACGGTGAAAGCAAACATAATTTCAAGTTTCATTTTCATCCAAGACCATAAAGTAAACATGGGAAAAAAACCCCAATTATTTTAAGATGCATTTCTCAACCTCAGTTTTTCAGCAGTCCTGAAAAAACTTTTTTCCCGTGCTTTACCAGTGAGAAAGTCTACGCAAGGCCCTTGACGGAGGCACTCTCAGGACGTACACAGCCCTCCCCTCCCATCATCCGCAGCCCTGGACACGCAGCCATCCCACGACCAAACTACTGGCCTCTGCCCGTTGGCAGGGTGGGATGTGCAAGCCATCCCTGGCTGGGGATGCTCTCGTCAGCCTCAGGTGCTGGTGTTTTGGTCGTATGATAGCAACGTGCCTGGGTCTGCGGCGGAGGAGCAGCCGCAGGACTGCAGGAAGGGAACAGGCTAGAAATGGCACAAATTGCTCTGGTAGCTGCCCACCCCTGGCTTGTAGTGCTTTTTTTCTGAACTGCAGGCATTTCTGGTGGCTGAAAATGGGAATGCAAAAGTCCTGCCCTGACTTCTGTTTGTACTAGTTGGGTAAATACACGCATGGATACAACATGGCATAACGCTGGGTCAAACTGCTGGCTGCAGTTTGCTCTGGTTCGGCATAAAGCCTTTCCAGTACTTTACTACCACCTGATCTCAGCTGAGGAGGTGAGAGGTACCTGCGTACCAAAGGGGCCTTTTACAAGGGAGATATTTTACCCAGCAGAAAGACTGGCTAACTTGCTGATGAGAAAACAGGGAGTCATGCACTGGAATTAATCCTAGCAATTTCATTGGACCTTTTATTTCGCTTTTTCTTGTTACATTAGCAATGTAATTATAATTTCAAGTTTAGGATTTAACTTGTGAACTTTTGAGAGAAAGGAAAGGATATACATTTTGCTAAGTCAGAAGCTAAAGTATTTGTATTTCTATTAAAATTATTCTTAATATTCAGAGCCTATCTCAACACTTCTATATCTTAGGGGATAAACAACTGCAAAAATATACAGCATCCTATTTATTTACAATATATATATGTACATAAAAATGAAATTTCCTACAATACAACACAACTGCATAGATTGGTCTTCAGAAACATAGGCATGTGTACAATTTGTGAATTCTAGACCTTTCCAGCCCTATAATTTTTATTAATTAGTTCTTTTTTTTTTTTTTTCTTTTTTCACAGTTTGTTACAGAAATCCTTACATTAGATACAAATAAAACATTCTTTGTGTAAGTTACAGGAACTAAGGATCTTCCTGACTCCAAGGGCTCTGGGGAATTGTTTAAGAAAGCACCCTGGCGCCAGGCGATAAAGCCATCTCGTGGAGCTGCTGATGGAGCCGAGTACATTCTGCTGTGCCTTTCTCCTACAGGCACGGAACGGGGGACAGTAGGACTGGAGGTGGGACACCACCATATGGAAAGAGTTTTGTTCTGACCCAGATGCTCTTTAGCCTTAATGTAAGGTTCAAGCAAAGAAACTTACTTGTTTAAAGATAAGCTAGACATACCATTCATTGTTACTTTTAATAATATCAGAGAGCTGTGGTGCTTATGCATTGTAAGGCAGATGTACAGACATAGCCCCTGTATCACCAAACCTGTGTTTGCATGTGTGACCTATTGCAAGTGGAGCACAAGCTATGGGCTGGTGTGTGGCTCAGGGCTGCAGCCCTCAGGAGCGGACGGGCATCCCCATCCCTGACCTCGCAGGATGAGACCCACCATCCTGTCCTGGGCCTGGGCACGGGCCGGGCACCACGCAGTCCGTGTCAGAACAACAGAGGGTCTGTGCCGGCCACGGATTTGGCATTGGCCCTCTGACCAAGAGCAAGCATCACCCTGAGAGGTCACTGCTCCTGAGATACCGTTCCCAAATAACAATTTAGTGCGTTTCACTTACTAGGTGTGTTTGCCATCGGACAGAGAAGGGCAGCTGTATTCTGCAACCATAAGGGTGCTTTAAGCTCATGACTATTTTCTTTGCAATGTGCTGTGGACTAGGAGAGGCAGGAAGGCTGTCTTTTAACTGTAGGATTAACTCCTACGATCTTATTAGGAGCCCCTGCTTCTAATTAGTCCTTCCTTGTCCCTCACCAATCAATTGTTGCTGTATGCAAACAAGAATTTCAAAGTCTTTTGTTGTAGTTATTAGGAGCAATTTTGCATCCAGTCTGACATTTGCAGTGCTCACAATAGTGATAAACTCTCTATGAAAAGAAAGCATGCTACCACCTACTAAGTAGATACGGTACTCTGGATTCTATTATTTTAACAACAGAGAAACTCCTACAGCATTTCACTGTGCTCTTAAAATCCTAGCTAAAATGTGGGACTCGTACATTGTTGGCTACAAGTTCACTAGTCCAAATGAACTGAATAACAGCAGTACATTTTACAGATAACCTCATACAAATATTGTCATCCATCACTGATGTTGACAGTTACAGCAGGGTCTATTGCATTCTGTTAAGAATGTATAAACCTGATGAGAAAACAAAAAGCACGTTATTTCACGTTCATTACCACAGACATCAATAAACACATGATTCCTTTCCATAAATACCTATAAATATGATGCCAGTAAATCAGTCTAAGCAAAATTCCCTCTTTTTTTTTTTTTTTTTTTCAGAAACCCAGAAACAAAGTCTGTTTAAAGACTCAGAATTTTGGGTATCTATTTTTTAGTATCTAAGATATGCTTTGATAGTCCAGTACCTGGGGTAATTTCATTCTATGCACACACCCAGATCATTCTTCTCCCTATTTATCCAGTAAAACTCCAGTATACAAATAAACCAGGAAAAAGAAGGCAGAATAGCAAAGAGGAGAGAGAGAGGGATAGCGATGGAGGAGATTTGGGAAGATGCAAGGAGCAATCAGTCACCCAACAACCCTTCAAGTTGAAGAAGCTGGGTGCCAAAACTCAATGGTTGGTATTTTAAACACAAGACTACAGACTATGGCGGGGAGTGGGAGATGTTGCAGTTGTGACCTTGCTGGGACCCTGTGCAGCAGATCAGACCTCTAGCTCATACCTGGATACTTGAAAGTTGGTCACAGGATCTCCTCTCTCACAACCCCCCGATGCACAGAGCTGCACTGCTCATAAATCAGTAGTAGAAAGGTAAAGGGGGGGGAAGAAAGCAGGAGAGCCCCGGAGCATCTTGAAGATAACACAGTACAGCATTCTCAGGTCTGAGTTAGGTTTTTTAGGATAAGATCCAGAGAGATTATAAGGCACCTGAAAACGTGACCCCAGCAAGCTGAGTCAGAGAATGGAGTGAGATGCTGGGCTCCTGCTGCAGTGACCAGGGAGGGTTGGGTGCCTGCAAAAGGGGAGCCACAAACTTACACCCCGAGCTGGGAAGATGCCTGCAACAAGCAGCGAGGAGATAGGAACCAAGCATAGGTTTTTCTCTGCAGAGCTTGTCTAACCCCTGGGCTCATAGGCTCGGGTATGGACTCCTCTGTGAGTAAGGGCAGGGATCAGTCTTGTAAAGAGACAGTGCAGAGAACTGGAGACCTGCACCACCGCAGGCAAGGGTTTGAGACCAGCCAAAGGAAAGCACGAGTGACCTTAGCCTGGGGGTTGCAGGTAGCTCAGCAGTTTGTGTGTTCAGTGCTGGGCTGGAGGGTGTTTGGGAGGAAGGATGCTGCACCAGAGACCTTGCTGGGAGCCTGTGACTGAAGGTCTGAGGGGCCATGAGGAAGATCGAGTAAGGGAACCCTGCTCTGCAATCTAGCAGGTCACTCTGCCCAGAGAGAGGAGGCTTCCAGTTTTGTTCTTGCTGCTGGGCTACTCCAAGGACTTGGGCAGCCTGCAGAGTCTACTCTGCCTTATTTCTGGATCACAGTGGAGTATCAACAGAGCAGGGTACCTCACTGCCTAGGCCGAGGTACAGATCTAGAAGTCCAGGTTTAGTAGGCTTAGTTTCTGCAGCATGAACGCTCTGCATCTCAATGCCCAAATTCCAAGGAAGGCCCCAAATTAACCTCTCTGGATGTTATCCTTAGAAACCAACTGTCAACATCCTGAGAAGTGCTCTGTGGTCTCAACTCTGTGACTTCAAGCCATGTAGGACACGACAATGGCAACTGAGGCAATTCAGTAGCTCACACAGAAATCTCAAGATCCCAAATTCTCCGTCCCTAACCTTAGAAAAAGCAAGCTGCAATGACAGCTTCCCCACAGCTGAAGACAGTCTCCTTCCACAGTTACAATGGGAGTCGGCAATGAACCAGCTACTGGGAGCAAGAGGGTCACTGCATACTGACAGGTATGGCTGGAGCATACCGCGGGCATCACTCAGCCCTGGGGTGCGAAGTGGGGCTCCCTTCAGCCATCGGTTCTTTCAGTGGGAGCCAGGATCATGTTTTGAGACGCTTTTGAGCTCACACGGTGAATGACACAAAGTGAATACGTTTACGCTGGCAGTGCACTAATAGAAGATGCCTGCTTAGGATGGTTAACAATCACCTGCTTAGCATTTGAGTCTCTACAAGTAGTTCCCTACACCAGCTATAAGGCATTAGGCAGATGCTTATTTTGTGGACAACAGATGCAAGTTACAGTGTTTCTGCTAGTAGTAATCAAATGTCTTTAATTATTATGGAGAATCGATGAGAAATGTACATGAAACATTTTAGATATAAAGTGTTTCTGTTTGTTTAAAGAAATGTTAGATTTCAATTTCCATTAGAAATCCAGTAGTTTGGCAGGGTGAGTCAAATCCTGCTCCCACTGCTGCCAGAAACCCTGCTGATTTCAGTGGGAGGAGGGCAAGACACAAGAGAGGAGCCAGTCTCTACAAGGTATGCACAAATGAATCCCAGAACGGAAAAAGCATGAGATATGATTAAATGTGCAGGATTTGATCAAACTGGAGTTTTGGTTGGGTTTTGTGGGTTTTTTCCCTTTTTTTTTTTTTTTTTTTTTTTTTTTTTCTCTGAGAGAAGTGGGGCATGAGTAAATGGTTTAATGCTGAAGAAAATGCAGACTTCCAGTGGAAATCTCCAAGTGTCTGCTGCTTTTCAGGCTCAAGCACTCATGGTCTGGGGTCAAGCCTAGTTCTGGTCAGGCTCCAACTGAAGTGTTCCAGGGGAACAGTGGCTGGTGGTGATGGCTGTCCTGCTCTCTGCACCCCATCACAAAGACACACACACACACATAGAGGTCTGCACCCAAAGCCACGAAAGGGCCAAGCCCTAAAACTAACTCCCTCACCAGAACATCAGAGAGAAGCACCAGATTTAGGACCTACGCTTATCCAACGCTCATTTACACTCTCATGGTGCTTTTCGTGCCCGTATCCAGAATGGCAGGTACACTTAACCCAGTGAGGCAAATGTAGCACGAAACAGCAACAGAACAAACAAACAACAAACCTGATACGTACAATTGGAGAGCAGAGTTTTGGCTAAATAGACGGGGGGGGGGGGGGGGGGGGGCGGCAAGGAAAGGGTGTGAACTGACATCACTGCAGTTGGTATTGGTAACAACAGGCGCTGCTGCCCTAAAGGAGCAGAGCTTAGGGTTGAAGGGGTAAGGATAATAATGGAACAATGCAATTCATGGGTGGAAGAGGGGAAACAAATTAATTGTGATGAATTCCTATGAGCAACGCTTTAGATAGTCTCACAGACAATTAACACAGACTTAGCGCTGATCTGCTAACTCGGTATCGGGGAAGAGAGTGATACTCCTGTTGGAAAAATGGGTCTGTTTTCTGCAAGAAAATACACCCATAACAGTATTTTCAGTACTGGATAATCATTATTTGGATTTGATTTGAGTAAACTCACAAAAGATGGAATAGATAACAGAACGGATGGTTGTGATTTTGGTGTGTAGCAAACAGGGGTGTCTTCTCAGAAGGGGGTGAACTTTAGTGGCCTTCCCCACTACCTCCTGACTGTACCCAGTCGTAGATGACCAAGGGAATGCTCACTAGGGAAAACATTATCCCCAGTGCCAAGAAAAGAGAAGCCTGGAACAAAAAAGAGAGAAAATAAATGAATAAAAAGACAATTAATTCAAGTGTGTTAAATTCTCCTCTTAAGGAGATTTACAAGGTGATGTATCAAAATTATCAACTAAAATGGGATAGCACTTCTGGTAAAGACAAGACCTACAGATAATTAAACAGATTACCATCATTAATAATTACTCGCTGAACACCAAAACCAATTTTTTTCTCCTTTCAATTCACTTCTTAAACTCTGATCATCCCTAAAGATGATTAAGCGAGTCTGGTTTTAGGACCAGTTGGCTCTGCTCTTTTCAAAGCCTCACGGAAATAAGTATACTCTTCCCATTGGATATGTCTCCATTAAAGTTCAGCCCTTTCACCCTGGGGTCTGTTCATGGAACCACAAGCGAAACACGGGTCTCCTGCCTGTCTGCTCAGAGCAGGAAGGTCTGACCTTACGATGTTTCCAGTGTGCACCCCATTAGACTGGGAATACACAAGAGTGTTGTGTGTTTTCAGCTGCAGCAATTTCTGGGGCTCACAGGAAATCTTTCCATGGCCCACTCCCATCTGCTTATACATGCCTAAGGGTTAACATTTCAGCCGGCTGCTTCTGGTGGAAGCACCCTAAGTCTGGCTCAGGTCCATTAAAACCATGAGGAGTACCACAAACGGAGCGCTTTGCACACTTTCTGGATCAACACACAGAAACAGAGAAAGTTTTTGCTGGGCTGAAATGTTGGCTGAAGCGGGCTGGAGGGGAACCTGCACCCTGCTGGCAGCTATGGCTTGCCAGCCGGGAGAAGAGCCCCTTGCCCTGCAGAGAAGGGCCCCCCCAGAACACGAGGTGCCCTGCCCAGTACGGCCCCTCCACTGGGAGAGCCCCAGGGTAAGCGAAGGAGAAGGGCAAGCATGGCTGCCACCTGGCTTAAGCAAGGGGAGAAAGTAATGCAAAGAAGCTCACACATACGTTCAGGTTAGGTACACTTTGCATCTAGCACACTATAAGGAATGACACGACAAAAGCATTGCATGGGAAAGGAATGCATACCCAAATCCTCTGAGTCAACTTGGATCCATCCTGCTGTGTAATTTTTAAATACAACGATGAAGGAAGAATGAAAATCAGCATATTGGCAGAAGTGACCCCTGTAAAATTCCAATAAATTAGTTTTGTTAGCTGTCAGCAACAGCTAATTTTTGTGTTGCTGATTAGCAACTGTCTTTTATTAGTAGTACAAAACCAGGATACTGTACCTACAACTCCGAAAATATCTTTCATGGTTGGGATAAAAATGACTAACAGGTTGATGATAACCAAAAGAACAAAAGTAACCAAAACATGACGGCATAAGTCAAATTTTGTTTTTCTAGCCAGCTCAAATAATGATGAACGCACCTGTAGGAAGAGAGAGAGAGGTCTCTGTCAGGAATAGCCTGTAAGCCAATTCAAAGCTTCCCATGTTTGTTTTAACCAGTTCTTCATGTGACAAGCTCTGCATAGATTTGTCAGAAATTTCGGGGTCTCTGATGCAATGTCCTTTGAAATAATCCTTAAAATTAATATGATATTTCAAAACTGTAGGTATAAATGCATCTGAAGTAGGATACCGCTCTCTTTCCAACATGTCTGTTGGCATCCTTCTGCACTTAAAGGTCAACTTCACCTCTGAGCCTGCTCCAGAGAAGTAATGTGAAGTAAGAGGGGGCTCTTGTGGATTCAATTTAAAACAGATTTAAGACCAAAAGTGACTAATTTATTTCCTGCAGGGAGAACTTCTCCAGAAGTTAGTGGGAGTCTGGTGTGGGAAAAGACTGACCCAAACTCAAGCTCTTTTTGTAGCTGCAACATCACTGCCTCGGCAACTGCTGGAAATGCCGTGTGGATCCGTTACCGACTTCCAAATCGCACGGAGCTTTTTTACTTACAGTGAAAAACAGCACCGGCACCGTGAGTATCACCGCAACGATCACAGCCAAACGCACCGTCAGGATGAGGATGTCATCTTTGCTCTGATACTTGTGAAGCAGATCTGACTGCACATTGTCTATGGAAAAGACAGTAAGATAAATGTTCTGGCGAACAGGCAATTGGTTCACAAAAATCATGGCTTAACAACAGCCTTCTTGAACAACAAGTGATTTATCTGCAAACGAAAGAGTATGGAATGAAACATTCTTGAGTTAAAACAGCGCTTTGAAACAAATCCTAATGATCCCATTATTCAAGATTAATCCTTTGGAGGCCTGAATTTAGGAATGCATCCTAATTCAAGACAGCACATGCCTAAGACTAAGGTAATTTTCACTGTAGGAAAGACAACAGTGAGACATACACAAAAGCTTGCTTACATATATAAAAAAATAAGTAAAGTGAAATAAGCTATTTCTAATTGGTTTCGTGGGCTTTTCTTTTTAAAAAAAGTTTCAAATGATATAAAAATAACCACATGCACTGCAACGGCTGAACTTAATATAAACTACAAGGTTTTGAGCTATATTAGTCTAAACAGCAAATAAACTTCCAGCAAAAAGCAGTGCCCCTGTTCTCAACCAAGAACAAAGCCTGTCTCGGGTCAGCTCTCAGTGGGACGCTCTGACATTTGCACTCAAGTCCCTCGGCAGCTCCTCCGAGGGCTGCCCTGGTGGCTTTTTCTCTTGAACCTACCACCCCCCCCGCCCCGGTAGCGCCTGCAGCTCAGCCCCACAGGGGCCGGCAGCCCCAGCAGCCAAGACAAATCATGGGGGGGTGGTGCCTAAGGGGGGGTGGTGCTGGCAATATTTTAATATGACCACCTGCAAAAATGTTTCTTTGAAGCTGTGATAAATAGTGTAGAGGGGGTCTGTGTGTGCTAACCAACAGGAAAATCAAGTTGCTGAGGGACCTATGTGTTTGCTTTTTAACTTTTAGGTATCTAGGAGCAATAACCTCAGGGGGTGGCTGTTAAGCACGCCACAAAACATACTCTCTGCCCCTTTTTAGGCTCATGTTTTGTTTCTACCTGCTAATCTTAGAAAGCTGGCAGTAAAACGTAACAGCTCATAAACCAAAATCCTTAAAGGGAACTTGGTGGCCACGTCTAATTTAAAACCTTTGGCACTCGGTAAAACCTCACGTATTCCTGGAGGCAGAGGGATCTGTCCTGCGGCGAAATCTCTACGCTCCCCCCAGGACCCCTTTCTGAGGGAGACCACGGGTGAACACCACCTATGCAGTGCTTGAATCCCCACCAGGAGAAAGAAAACGCTCTCCCACCTCCCTGCAGATTAGGAGTGGGGTTTTCAAGCCGGGCACATGCACAGCTTCTGCAACACAGAGCTTACTCTGCTCCTGCAAGCACAGACTGCAACTTCTGTACCGCTCACGGACTGCAGCCAGGTAGGAAGTGAAGGGCAAGGCTTACAGTTGAAGGTCTGTTTTCCTTTCAGCTAGATACACCACAGAGCCCAACCACAGTGTGACCTTTTAGGGGAAGAAAAACACCTCTTTTCTGTAATTCTGCAATGTAAATATAGTCATCACTGCAACACTTTTGAGAACACAGCAAACAGACAAGTACTATTGGTGTAAAGAAGAAATGGCCACAATAAAAATGCTGTTCTTACCCAGGTAAGGGTAGAGAAGAGGGTTAGAAAACTAAGCAAACGTATGAAAGGTAAGGTCTTGTCAGTCTCAAGGGGAAGAAGGATCAAAGTGGAGGAGTTTTATACTCCGCCCGTGTGTCTGTTGCTGCCTGTCATGGCACTGACCCTTGCAGAAGCCCCAGCAGAGCCGCACAGCTTCCACCCGCGGGCTCTCGGTGCTGGGGAGCAGGGACGCCTGACGTGGGGAGAGGCACACCAGACACCCCAGGGATTCCTCCGCCATTCCCCCTCGGGAGGGCCAGAAGGACGCAGCCCCTACCTCCTCCATGGACTCCAGACCCTCGTCCTTGAGGGGTGTGGGAGATTCCCAGAGGGGAGCGCCACGGATCTGCCTCCTCAGATCCCTGGGGCAATCACATCAGAATCTCCTCCCTGCCAAAGCGAAGGGGTCCGTGCTGATTTACACCCACTTGCTCCCTGGGGCTGCTAATTTGATGCATTTCTATGCAAATGTGTTAAACAGGAGCAGCTGGATGAGAATGGCTGTTGCTGTTGTCACTTGCAGCGTATTTGCGGTTTTATTGGGAAAATTAGAAGAGATGACCTCAAGTTACTTCAACGCATGCAGACTCAAGGCCTCATAATCAGAATGAGAGCCTGAGAAAACAAATATGAGATAGGTACACCTTTGAAGAAAAATGCCACATTTCATATTTACTTATTTTCTTTCTCTTGCAATACATGGCTCACAAGGAACGGTATCATGAATGAGGAGATTGTAACAAAAAGGTCACTTGGAATAGGGTGGAAAAGACTGATGACCTTTTGGTGACTCTGAGGTAAAAGGCAAACAGCAGTTTTGTCACGTGTCTTGTAACCTCTTAATGGTCCATGGAAAAAGACACTACTTTTCAACATTCCCATTATACTGGAACAAGGGAGTACCTTCCTGGGCAACATTCATATTTCATCGTACTTTATTTAATAATTGTGCCTTTAGGGCATACATGTTGTATCATTTAGCAATACAACATCATTTGTTTGTTTCTTTAAGTGAATTGATAGGTATGAAAAGAGACAGGGTGCATGTCTCCAACACTGAAATAACCATCCTTTGGTGGCTGAGCTGGGACAACACTCGAAGCTTCCCCACTGCCAGTTTATTTAACCAAGACCTGAAGGGGTCAGCTGAAGGGACACAGGGAAAATATTTGGTCCTTTGCCTATACGATGAAAGCATCAATAAGAAAATGAAAAAGCTGTGATGGCTGATTTGATACTCATTTCCTAGGACCTGCTCTCAAATCTGTCTCATTTTATGCAGATATGAACACTTCAGTCATTACCAATGTACAACATTCAGGTGAGGACATTGGAACTAAAATCTTTAGTGGGACCCAGCTAATCCCCAATTCTGTTAAACAAATCTCTCCCTCATCTTTTGAATATGCCTTTTGCAAATAATACTTTCACTTGTGCGTTTCATCCACTGGGGGAAAGGAGGAAAGGATTTGTCCCTTCAATATAAAAACTTTAAGGAAAATGATTTGAAAAAGTATTTTAATATAAGTGGATGCGACTTTCTGTTCCAGCTGGGATACACTATTGATTTCATATGTATTCCCTTTATACTTTGATCAGTAAAGAACTGCATACTTACCATAGAAAGTCAAATAGCCAAATATGGCAGTCATAAAGTACATCACAAACATGGCAAAAAATGAGATATTTGAAACCAACTGCATTTTTTTCTGTGAACGGCTGGAGAAAGAAGAAAAAAAAAACATAAAAATGGTTGGGCTGGATTTTTCAATAGCTGTTAAAAAATGTATTAAGTCTTTGCATAAATATAGTAATTCTGGGGAGACTCATGAATGCATTTTCTTTCAAAACAGGAATTCATTGACAGCTGCACAAGGAAGGAAAGGACTAGGGAAAATGGACCTTACTTGGGGCTTAAGTCAAGAAATGGTGGGTCCGCCCTGTGGCTCTGATCACTGGCTGTACCCTCTGAAACAGAGTGAAGGGTGAAGCCGAGTGGAGAGGGAAAGCCCTTGAACACTTCAGTAATTAAATTAAAAGGTCAAAATAAAGGAAGAGTAAAATTGTACAGAAGGAAAAAAAAAACATTCTGAATGTTTGCAAAGAAATATTTGTGTCCTCATAGGTAGAAAATAATGTATGTAGACCACTGTAGACCTGTAAAATAGGTTAAGTGTAAACATTTCATTTTTAGATATTTGTTCTGAAATATTCACATTCCAGTACCTAAACTTAGACTTTTAAATCCACAGAGGGATGCCTGAAATAAGCACCTGGGAACCTGCTGAAGTCACTTGAAACTCAAAGGCACCCAACTGAGTAGGTGGGACCTGAGGGCACCCAATGGTCTGACTGAGCCTGTCCTCTCCCGTGGGGCTGCCCCCATGGCCCAGGACCCCACTGCAGCCCCCCAGGGCTGCCAGCGATGTCGCAGCAGGGCTAGTCTCCAGCTCCACACAACCCTGCCCAGCCAGAGGTGTCAGTGAGAAAAGCCGTACCGACAAAGGTCTTTTAGTACAGGCGAGGCTGAAAGTCCTTCTTTTTCTTTTTTTTTTTTTTTCTTTTCCTGGTAATGCAACAGATTTTTAGTTGCACTGGGACAAACACCGTTAGCTGAACAAACGCCTCTACCCTATGCCAAATAACGACCAGCACAACTTGGCTCTCCCCAGGCTGCCGTGTACTTTCAGAGAAAAATCCCAAAGTATTGCATTATCCTCAACCTCCTTCACCCCCGCCCCAGCGGCTCTCCTGGGAGGCCAGATTTTTCTAGCTGACAGCCACGCTCGTTGGCTTGTTGGGTGTTATTAAAGCACATCTCCTCCGAATGGCACAAATGACTCAGAGCACCTCTGCTCTAATATTTTCCATCTAAAGCAATTGAAAACAATTAAATGGGGAAAAAAAAAAAAAAAAAAAAGAGAGAAAGGCTGCTTACTCTTTAAGTTCGCTGTAAATCGGGAGTACTGACGGGTGGCACACAAACGCAAAAGCAATGGTGGGCAAAGCGTACACGGTCTGTTCAGAGAGAATTTCAGAAAAGAAGTTAAGAAGAAGTAATTGCCCCAGAGGCGTGAAGAAATGATCCATGTTCAACTACCTCAGCTCCCAACTCTTTGGACTCTGCAACTGAACATTGAGAGCCTTCAGAGAAGGCAGAAGACCTGTCAATTAGCACGTATTTAATGAAATATGGAGAGCAGTGCTCTTTCAATGGGAGGACGAAGTCTTTGCGTTGGTCGCGTGAGCACAGTCCTGACTCTGCTCACCGAGCACAGCGCTGGATGCCATGTGGCTGCTGGTTTTGCTCCCTGGGATGGGTTTCCCTGCCCAGCTACTGCCACCGGTACTAGCACACCATCACGCATAAAAGGGACATATGGTGGGTCACCGCTACGCTACCCTGCCTTGGCATGGAGAGGGGTGCGCACCCATGGTGCTAAGGCTGAAGTCCTGAAGAGGAAGCCCATTTCCAGACTGTAAGAAAAGAGAAGAGGAATGCAGAACTTACAAATAAATGGATATTTCAAGGTACCAGACTGAGTCCCTTCATTTCCCAGGCCAACAAAAGGGCTAGGAGGGCTGTGGAGGGAGCATGCTTTTCCTTGGGGAAAGAGAGAGACCGTTACGTCACCAGGAAGTGTAGGAGGCCTCCGAAGGGGGATCTCACCCCCTTCTCCACCAAAAACCTGAATGGGTTTCAGTCTTCAGTGTACAGCCAAACTTCACAAATGATCTCAGCACCGAAGAACTTCCATTCTCCCCAGGGAATGGGTATGAGCAGAGATCACATGAAAAACAGGTCCTCCTGCGAGGACAAAATGAGTCCATCCCTACAGGCAGCTCTCCCCAGCCCTCTGAAATATGCTCGCACTGGCCACAGGCATCCCCTTCCCACAGAAGCCATCCTGGGGGCACGCCCCAGGCCTGACAGAGTCAGTAAATACACTGACTGCCCTCCAGTGGTCCTTCCTCACCCGGGCCTGTGCTGCCTCCCCTCCCTCACTCACAGCACGCTGCCATTGTGGAGTGTCCACCCATGGAGGTATTCAGAAGTTGCCCAGACATGGTGATGGGCAAGTGGCTCTAGGTGGCCCTGCTTGAGCAGGGGGGTTGGACCAGATGACCTCCAGAAGTCCCTGCCAACCTCAGCCATCCTCTGACAGACCAATCCTTCCGATGTGTCTCCACTGACTCTGAGGCAAATGCTGACACTTACTGTAGGAGAAGAAAACTGCCCTTCAACGCCATCTGAAATATACCTGCACTTAAGCTGCTATTGCACACCAAGTTAACTAATTCTCAGTCTGTCACACTGGATCTGGGCTGAAGGCTGCCCCCAACTATAGAAAAGTGCTCAGATTGGCTTCCTCAACTGAAGCTGGTAGGATGAATTTTAAAAAATTTGATTTTTGCACACATATGCTACACATGCCCATTACCCACAAATGCAACTGTGACACTCTGAGGACCCTGCCCTGCTGGACAAGGCGCTGTTTAACACGCACTGCGCCCCAGCACAGCTGACAGGAGCAATCCTCCTTCTCCCATAGCTACAGCCAGTTGCTCTTTTGCATCCTCTTGGCATAACGTTTCCTGCAGCTGTGTGGCGATGGAGGAAAGCATCCAGCTGAAAGGCAATCAAATTTTTGCTGGATTAGCTTTCAGCTGTATCCTTTTTGCAATCCAGTTCACCATATGGCTGTGGAAACCTGTACCCTGTCACAAAGAAGTGGTTTGTGTGGAGAAGGAGAGAGGGATTACTTCTGGGCTTTGGATGGAGGAATGGCTTACTCAGCCTCTGCTGAACTACAGCCTGAAAGCACAGTTGCAGCATGGATAGTAAGAAGCAGTGGAAAGGAAAACTCTCCCAAAGAAAGCATTAGTTGTCTGGTGGTAGCTCGGGCTCACAGCCTTAGCACATCTACTACCAGGGCAGAGCAAGACTACAAGGAGCTACATTCAACACAGCATCTCCGTAAGACTAGGCGAGACCCACTGGGCATTCACCACTGGAGCACGAGTGGAAGCATGGAGAATCAGGGCCTATGTGGTGCTGATCAGATTAAGAACACGGGGTGTAGGTGCATATATTATGGAAATTAAAAATAAGTATTATAAAAAGAAACATACCTTGGAATTAAAGATAACATACTTTGGCTTACACATATGTTCATGTGCTGAGCTATTTGATAGGATAGATGATGTTGCATTTAGCTCCGATCCGCCACAGGGAATTTGAAACTTCTTGTAAATAACCTGGAATAAAAGCAGAAGACAGCTAATGGCTAAAAATAATCATAAAAGGCAAGTTAAAACATCAGAGAAATTGTGAATATCCTATCAAATAACTCTCATCCAACAAAGAAAGCAAGCTGAACTTACCACTACCAGGAAAAATACCATGCAGCTTAATGAAAATCCACTGGTATAGCCAAGATACCCTAAAAGAAATTAAAAGGAAATCTCACACAAAATTATTTTATTAGCCATATCTTGATTTTTACGTCTTTTTGCTGCTTCATGAAAAGTTTAAATGTATTTAATATGTATCATGAGCTTCTGGGCAGGACAAAAGCACGTCCTGCGGGTGTGGGAGTCTCCCATTTCGCAAGCCTCTGGGCTTTCAGACAGACCTGAGCTTTGCTCTGACGTGTTTGACTTCCTGAAGGTTACACTTACAGCAGTTAAACTACTTTTACTTTTGAAAGGGGCTGTGATAACTGAAACAAACCTGAAAATGTGCAATTGCAATCAGAACATGACCCAGATTCCCCGATATGAGCCGTGTCAGCTGAGTATGGGTTATTTCCTCAAAAGGAAGATGTCAACAGGACTTCAGTGCCAAAACTCATTACGTGGTTTTAAAAAATACATTGAGTACTTACTGGCATCTTTGTGGATTCAAGCACATTTGAAAATGCAATCCTGTGTACACATTTTACTTCAAAGTACAATACCTCGAATTAACTTTACCGCTAAAAATTTTGATGCTAATAGGTAAAGAGATTATTTTTTGTAATCTCACAATTTGTGAACTTATTTTTACACATAAAATAGAATTGCCTTATGAAATGAAGACCATCTTAACTATAATTTTAAAAATCAATTTCCACAGTTGTATGGATGACGCTGGTTTATACTGAGTTCAACCACCGTGATAATTTAGGCCTACTTGATCCAAGATGCATGAAACATAGCTCCTGGACCAGGGAGGCTGCTTAGGTTACAGTGAGAGCACATTTTTTTTTTTTTTTTTGTTATAGTTGAGGTGCCAGTGTGGCTGTCAGTGGCATGATGTCTGGGCTCCTTTATTTTATTCCCACAATGGCATTTGCATCTTACCTAAGTTCTTAAGGAGACATAAAGGGAGGATTATACCAAACGTCACTGTGACAACAAGAATCCGTCCATCCACGTACCATGCCCTGCATAAAATATTAAAAAAAAGCCACTATGAGTGCACCTTAAACCTTCTCCGGTTTTCCTCACAGTCAGTCATCCTCTTTGCTGCAGTTATAGAGCTATTGTTGGTCTCCCTACCCTACAAGCTCTTACAAAAGGAGATGGGGTCCACATCTAAACTTTCTAGACTTGTTAAGTATCAAACCCTTAAAACATGGCACTGCTGACCCAGATGCAGCAGATTTTCATAGTCATTAGACAAAACATCACTCTCCTGCTGAGGTCAGTGAGTGGGACTGAGAGGCAGAACAACACCCTCCGTAACCTGATATAGGCCACCCTGCCAGGACGAGGAAAGATGATGCAAAGGGCCACACATACAGCACAGTGGGGCCGGGGGGGCCACCACAATTCGTTTGCTAAACCACTCGGGCATGTGCCTGGAGTGGCAAACTGGGCTCCTGCCAGCTGGCAAGCGCTAGCCAGGCCAAGGCTGCCTCTCCTTCTAGCAAAGCGGTTTGAATCCTGCTGGAAAGCAAGACAGGGGAGAAGGGAGAGCGCTAGTGACATTCTGTATGACCTATTTCCAATGTGCAGTGCAATTCAGAATGAAAGCCCGAGGAATGGGATCTCTATCTTCTTCTCGTGCACTCCAGCATACCATATAACCCAGTGCAAAGGATATTTACCACTATAAAGAAATACCACCCCTCTATTAAAGAAGCTGGCAAATGTCAAGGAGCAATAAGTGGCAGAAACCTAAGTATAATATTCTGCTGTTTTCATATGCCAGTGTTGAAGGATTTCATAGCATGGACAGTGTTTCAGGGCAAAATCTTGTAAGATGCTAAGAACACAGGGAAATACATAATAAACGTCCATTGTTCCAAATATCTTCAAGTGTTGTCTAACACTGTAAAAGATTGGATCCTATGGTAAGACGTTTGTATAAATCACAGTTCTTCATGAAAACCTGGTGTGTGAAGAGAATAACCAGTGATGACTTAAATTTTAATTTCCTATCCATCTTCTTTTCCTTCCCAAAGTTGTCTTGGTTTTTATTAACCCCTTGTGAAAATCTACTTTGACAAACTTAAAGAGTATCTAACACGTAAGAGCTTTTTTAAGCATATGCTTAAACTTATCTACAAAACATTAAACTCTATAATCTAATCACCAAAATTAATTCAACTTACGAAAAAGATTCTTCTTTTCCCATTAGAAACTTTATGGCAGAAGGCAGCTCATTTTTAACTATGAAGAGATAGCTCAACATTGCTGGAGGAAGAAGAAAGTCAGTTTAAAAAACAGGTAAGGTATTTTGCAGAACAAATACAGAGAAGCATCCTGAACCTTTTTCCACATCAGCATCTGATGGTAGAAGACCCTGAACTATAATTGACTGTAAACTACTGATCATTCAGTAACACAGCATTTTTAAAGAGCTGCATGCAAAGTGTTAACCACAGCTATACCGAGGAGCATGAAGATCCTAAAATGTCACTGAGAGGAGGAATGTGACTGGTTGGTAGCTGTAACATTACTAAGATGTTCCTGGGTTTTGTTTTTCAATACCCCTCATCTCCTTTACCTCCAACGTTCTGGAGAGATGTAGATCCAAAGACAATCATTTTCCCTGGGGTACCAAAGACCTGCTCACCCAGCTTTTCATACACCATGCAGCCTGAATGAAAAGAAACGAGGAGAAAGGTAACAAATACACCAGCAAAAGCTGTTGAGTTGAAACAGTTATGATTCCTTTTCAGCTAACCAGCCATATCTGCCCTCTGCAAGTAAATAGAGCTCTCTTGTAATTACTAGAGCTAAAGCTTATGTAGGAATGTTTTCTTGACGTCTATAAATGTTATCATTGGCTACCAGTCACTTTTGAAATTGAAGCTCTTAATGAGGCTACTAATTCCCTTTAATGAGTCTGTCTATACCCCTAGTGACATGTTAAGTTCTGGTATACCCATCCTGGCAAATTAAGGTTGAACCCGCAATGAGAGTGACGTAGAAAGCCTCCTCTCCAGACAAAACTCGCTACAGCAGGACCCACAGGTCACCACTGGCAGTCTGGCCAGCACACACAGTTCTGCAATTCTGCAATTTTGCTTGCTTTGACTAAATGATCCAAATGATCCAAATGAGGTTTACAGGATGATTTACAGTTTCTAATGACGAAGCTGTAATCTGTGAAGTCTCAGTGTGGTATGTTTTTAGTAAAAGCAGGGAAAGGTGTAAATTATAACTAAAACTTCTTTTTAAATATCTGTCAAGCTTGAAGAACTCCTATATTAATTGGTTCATGTTTCTGTTAAATGTTTTTTTTCTTGGCTGTGATTTAGGCTGAGAAAAAGACTGGTTATTGTGAAGATGGTGAGATACATGAGAACAGAAAGAGAAATATTACAGACATTATACCGCACAGATGATTTTAAAAATGCATCCCATTGTTTGGTTTTCTCTATATTTCCTTATAGCTGACATTTCTGCTTTGAAGTTTATATAAACAATAAGTTTGAGCTTAAATGTACCAGCAGCATAGAAACCAGGGCTTAGATTTGGGAAACTAACAGGGCACAAATGTGTCCACAATTAGGCATATGTACCTAATTTTATAGGCAGTTGCTGCCGTTATACATGCTATAACAGTAACTCATGTGTCCAAATTACATATTAAAATATTACCGTGTTCTTGTGCACAGATAATTTTAAAAATCTGGCTTCAGAGATTGTTACCCAAAGAAAGAGATTCTTTGACTCTTCAGAGCACAGTGACTATTAACACTGTAGGTAAATTCTAATTTCTGTATTTAGAATATATTTTGCTTACAGATACTTCTCTCTGTGGGGGAGCTGTTTCCTTTTATTTTCTTCTAGGATACCTTGTACTTCACCAAAAAGGCTATCAGGAATTTCACAGTAGCTTTTAAGGACAAACTGTATTTCCAGGTAAGCTTCACCATAGACAAAGATTCATTATATTTCATTTGCAATTGGTTTTGTAATACAGAGAAACTATATGAGCTGTTCCTTCTACCTCACCGAAGACTACAGTTCACAGTAGCAAACTCACACTTCGTCCAAATTTTTTCTCTATATAGTGATGTTCTGATGCTGTTCTCCACTGCCGTGTCGTAAATTCTTGTTAATTCTGGCCTTTTGACTCAAAATGTGTTAGGCCTTTCTACTGTGTCAGCTAAGTAATAGAAACTCCTATCTTACACAACGCACCTGGACTTATTTGAGCACTTTTCAGCTCTTGTTCTTTACAATTCTACTGAAATGGTATAATAACATCTTAAATTACCTGTTTCCTTTGAACACACCAACAGGAGATATATTGAATAAATAGACAGCAGCGTCACTGAAACCAAAAGCAGCCTACAAAAGAATCAAAAAGAAAGCTTACTGTAACAGCTGAGCTCTAACATTGCAGTATTTCATGTCAGGTCATATTCCTGTTGATTCCAAGATAATTTTTATACTCTTCTAACAATGCAAAAAGCCCTAAAAATACATGTGATTTACATGCTGTTTGTAGTTCCACCATACTACCGTGGAGGCAGAAACCCCTGCATGCAGAGGGATTCAACCAAGTAAAACTTAGCAGAGCTGCAGAGCACAGCTTGTCAGGGAGTTACATTTCCCCATATTGAAAGAAACAAGAATGAAGATGTCTTCTCAGATAGGAATTAAGATTTAATCACAGAAGGGATGAGCCAGGTATATCCCTCACACCCACTCTAAAGCTTTTTTCCCTGGAAGCAGAGTAAAAATTTGAAAGGGAAGTCCTCCATATAAGGACTTCCATACCAAATGAAAGCATCTTTTCCAAGGACATATTTCATATGTTACCAAAAGGGAGCACAAACATCTTTTTATGTGCCTCCCAGTGCATAAGGAGGGGGAAGAGGAGGGAATTTAAGGCTTGACTGGCTTCCCTTGGGAATAAAGGCAGAAACCAAAGGCTTACACTCTGTCTAGGTGGGGACACTGTTGTTCCCTCACTAATGTCACTCCTGATCTGCCGTGATCCATAATTTGACTTCATGTAGAAGAACTGCAGGAAGTAATGACCAAACTGTTTGTGTAGGGAACTTGCTGGCACAAACGATAATTAATCAGTGCCGGGGGCTATGTGCATAAAACCACATTTGCTCATTGCTCTATGTTTTTAAGCCAAGCACCATGTGTGCCTTCCCGTCCAACACTCTGACACACAAAGACCTGATGATGTTTTCATGATGTGTGTGAAGAGCATTCAGACAATCTGTTGGCAATTCCTCTCTTTATTATGACAACTACCCTCAGGACACCGAGAAAAACAAGCCTAAAATTTAACAGAAAACAAGCTGCTGCCATAGATAGGCAGCAACACATCTTTTTCATAGGAATACATAAAAAGAACAGGATGAGAAGCTTCCTCCCCCCACTTTTTTATTATTTTAGACTAGAAATACTTTAGCGCTAAATAATAACTTACAAGTTTCTTGGGGCCAGCGGAGCAGGGAGAAACATAAAGAGGTGATGGGAGGAACTGTTCTTTTGCCAACAAAGATTGATGGTTGACAATAACAACAAACTCTTTTCACAGCTCAGAGGGTGTTTCTCCTGGAGAAGGTGGAGAAGGGAAGGGAGATTGTGCTGGCTGAGGTCACTCTGCTCCATTTTTTACAGATTTGCTAAGCCCTGTTCCTGCCCGTGCTCCCTGAAGGGCTGTTACGCCTGTCTGCCTGCAGGCACGGTGCTGCAGCCCTCGGTGCTCGGCTGCTGGGCTGACTCACTCCCAGCCCCAAATGGCTCTGGCTCTGCATGCCAGCATCGAGTCTATTTTAATATTAAAAGCTCCCGTTTTTCAGGCACTGAGCTCATGGAGCCTTTGCAGCGGTAAAAATAACACTCCCAAGCAGCCAGGTATTTATCTGATCTGTTGTCCTTAGCTCCCCATAGGGTTTTTACAGAGACACTTGGCATTTTCATTAGCGCTGTATGAAAAACTTGTTTGTGTTAGGACTGTGGTATGGATGGGGATATTCACGCCAGAACCACCCCTTGGAAAGGAATGAAAATGTCCATGCCACTCGGTCTGCACAAATTCAAAACAGAAGCAGGGGAGCCTGCACTGCAGTCCCAAAAGCACTCCCCTAATTCTATTTTGCCTGCTTTTAAAGAAGTGCTGGCAGCTATGCAAGCAACCGGCACATGCAAAAGTCACCTCCCTCCAACAAATCCAGAATAAACAATTTAGAGCAGGGGACTGATACAGTGCTGGGAAGAACAAATTGTTCCTGCAGTGCCACTGCTGTTTGCTCCCAGCTGCCACATTACCAGGCCAGCTGAAACATGTGCTGTCCCTGGCCCTCTGTGGAGTTCCAGACTCTGGGGCCAGAAGACCTGTGAGGCTCGTGCAGTCACCTGCCTTGTTGCACAGAACAGCTCTGAACGCTCACAAGGTGCTGGGTGCAGAAGAGCACAGCAGAGCATGGGGTTTGCCACCGAGGGCTGGTCTGACAGCCTGCCCTAAACCTCTGGAGGAGTTGGGCTGTGGCTTCGTGACTGCTTCCAGCCAGCCCTAGCAGAAGCAGCTGCAGAAGGAAGTGTGAAATTTCAGCTGTAGTCTCAAACCCTACCTTATCTAGCAAACCCCAGCTGGGTTTTTCAGATCATGTGCAATGCCAGGCTAAGCACAGGCTGAAGGCACCTTGCGCTTCGCCAACCCGTATGTCTCTAACACGATCCGTCGTTCTGGTCCTGGCTCTCCAGGGTGAAACCATGGGCAGTGAGGAGCGCTCCTGCCATCCCTAGGTGGCCTGGTCCGTCTCTAACTTCCCAAGCCTTTTGTGCCATCTTTCTGCAGCAAGGTTTTCTCCCCTTCTGCATACAGGAAAGGATGTTCTTCTTTGGTCTAGGCTGTGGTTATCAACAGTACTGGGATTAGGTTCCTGTGAGTTCCTACCTCAGGTGTTTTGCCTAGAAAGCATGACGCTTTGCTACGGCAGTAAGTTACGCAAATAGGATGTGAGAGGATACACACATTGCCATGTTTATTTTGCATGTCTTATGCCAATACAGGATCTGAACTGATCCAGGTGTGCACAGCAGTGCACACTTTCACACTGCAGAAGCCTGGAAGTTGTGAGAGTGGAGGTCAGGCTGGGTCTGCTTTGTTAGTGCTGAAAATGCTCCTTTAATTTTTTTGCCCCTGCTTTCTACTTTTCAGGGATGGAGCATGCCAATACTGGATGAAGCAACTTGGAAACTTTCCAGAACAGTGCTATTCAAGAGCAATGAATTTAAGTGCTTTCTCATGTGCAAAAAGCAATGAAAATATTGCTAGGAGTCTATCTTTAATCACTTATAAAGCAGAAATAATTCTAAGATCTACCTGTGGTAGCGACAACGGAACTATACATTTATGGGAAAAATGCACTGAATGAGAGTGTGAGAAAAAAATCTAACACTAATGGACTGGGTTTAACTCTGAGATTATTGCATGATAAAACAATATTTAAAGCAGTTCAACTTTCAGGCATAACTACAGACATCACACTAGGATCCTGTATCTCCAGGCTTCAAAGGGGAAAGCTCTGCTAGCCTGGTCAGTTAGGTCCTGATACCTTCCTTACCTTTGATCTCAGCGGGCTGGTCTATCTCCAGGCCAACAGATCTAAAGGCATTATAAAGCTAACAAAAAAAATTATTCATTTTTAAATATACACAGTTAATTCTGTAGAGAATAATTCTGTTATTTACTGTATAAAATCTCTACATTCAGGTTTGGCAGTTTTTTGTACAATGTGGTAGTACAGATCTACACACTCACTACTCAGGACAAGATGAGCCCAGTCACCATCACAAGCTGTTAGAAGTTTCTCTGGTGTTCACATCACTGGTCTGATCTACTTCACTTAAAAGAAACCACCTTTTACATCCTTGACAACAAATACATTTCACATAACTCTCATGAAAAACTGCTGGAAGAATAAGAAGAGGATGAGATTATAGAAAACTAAAGCAGTAAAAGGAGAAATTGAGGGTGCTCCTTGGCTGAGACACTATTATCACAGAAGAGGTAACAAGGCTGAAGAGAGGTAACTTTTTTTTTTTCCTGGTTAAAGCAGTTTTTGCAACCACCAGTCTGTGCCCTCAGAGATGCGCTTGTCAGAGCATGGGTGGAGTATCACATACAGGTTAGAGTACTGGGTAAAAAAAGCAGCAAAAATAAAATAAGCTCTGTCGCTCTGCATAAGAAAGATCTAAATTAGAGCCCGGCTACTTTATAGCCTAGCTTAGTGACAACACAATTATGAGACTTTGTACATACTTAATGTAAATGGATTAACTCCTTGGACTATTCCTAGATTTTACCCAACCACAGCAAATTGTAAGATAGCAGCATGGATGTAGCTATCCTGGCACAAAACCCCAGAGCAGATGGCTATATATACCACTTTGGCCATCCACTCTGCTATACAGGGGGCTCATATTATATATTTTCCAAAAACCTAAGAAATAACAAAAGTTCTAGACTTTTAGATTTGGCATTCAAGAAATTACATCTCTTTAGAATAATCTGTAAACTCAATAACAGTGTTGAACAGTTCTCAAAGATTGTAAATTATTGTATTTCTTCTCTCAAAGAACATTTATCACTGAAATCTGCACACAATTCCCAACTGATTTCTTAACAATCACTTTTCACAATGAAATGTTTCATACTGCGATCCAGAATAACAGCGTGTCTTACTCATTCACTGGCATAATTTTATTTTTACACTATAAAATTCTCCTTTACAAAATGCCTCTTTTTTGCTAGAGTTAAGTACTCTACCTCAACTCTTTTTTTATACTAAAATCTTGGCTATATTTATGTTGGCTCTCAAGGACTCTCACATAAGAAACTGAAGAAACTGTGGGAGTGAGATGAAAATATTATATGTAACATATAAAGGAATATAAATATTCTTCTTGGTTAAAAAAAAAAAGTAGCTATTGCACCATGCTTTGATGAAAGCTCTGGAGATCCTGTGACACAAGTAAGAACTAGGTACTATCCTACTGCAATTATTACTACTGAGTATTTCCAATGTATGTGTAGCCTGTGGGCCACAGGAAAAATCCCTGGCTAGGCTCGGGTCTGTAGTAAATAACATGGACTTAATTTGGTCTTGCATTACAAGCAGTAGCTTTTCCCCCAAAAAAATTTGATGGAAAAAAAATTCTGAAACTTGTAGCTAACACTTCCAGGCTTGAATGCTGTACTTGATTACAGATGGACTATAAATCCCTCCGCTTGCTGGCAGTGCACACGTTCATTAAGCACAGTGAAACTGCCCGGAGATCAGCTCCTCACCACATGAATACTTACAGAAAAAGGAGAATTCCTGTGTTGGCCAAGGCAAAAGCGAGACCCAGAATCCCACTGCCCATGATCGCATTGCTGAGATTGAAGACTGACATCCCCAGTGAAGTAGTTCCTGGGATCTGGAGAAATAAAGATACATATGTCACCAACAGCTTGGAATGGAGCAGGGAAATGCATTTATGCTTCAAGTGTCACATTTTGTGATATATCAGATATAAGGTAACTACGGCTATGGAAAGGACTTAATAAAAATTATTTTGAAAGAAGAAAAATCATTGCTGAACCCTGTCACAGCTACGCTCTGATCACTGTCCTGCAGATTTTGTAAACTGACATGAATGGTATCAGCAATACACAACTCCTCCTACACTTTCAAGTTTATATATTAAGATATATATCAAGTTTATGATTTATATATTGTAAGGCCATAAGGAACCACCAGGACTTCCTGCCTTAACACAGGCCAGAGGGATTCCCTTGCCTCAACTTGAACAAAATGCTTGTTTTTTTGTTTTTTTTTTTTTAAGTGCTAAGCACAGGTAGTTCCTAATGGAACCTGAATTTCATTTATAATTGTGTGTGCCCAGCATTTTTGAAGACTGTGTCTATGTGTCTAAAGGCCCTTCATATGCACAACATATAGTTCATTTTGACAGGGAAAAGAACAGCAAGAGAGACTTACGTATTCATCACATTTCTTCTTCTCCAGGTGGCTGTTTGTGAGACTTCTTCTGCTTTCTCGGTCCGAAATAAACTTGCTGAAAGAAGTCAGAGGATTTATTTCCAGCAAGTGTTTAGAAAATGTGAACACATTAAATCCATGAGCAGCACGTGATTACAAAATACGCAATGTATAAAAACTGTATGCAGAAAGATGTCAAGCTCCTAACTATTTAATGAGACAGATTATGCTTCACTGATACCAGCGTACACTGGCCATCAATAAAGCTAACACAAAATAAATATATCTATACAGAATCGTCTTTTAGGAGGTTTAGTAAAGGAGCAGCACTGATTTTGTGGACGGGAAAGTATTTTGTCTGCACATACACTAAGAGGAGATACTTCTGCAGGTGTCCTGTAGAGGTGTGTGTGACTGGTACTCCCTGCTCCCGACCCCTGCTCGTGCGGTTAGCGTAACTAACGCCATTTCATAAGGGAAGCAGTTGTTCTGCGATTGAGCGGATCATGTATTCGTTCCCTTTCCCTCCTTATCAGGCCCTGAAGGTCCTGTGAACCAAGCAGACAAACCAAAGAGATTTCTTCTTCCCCTCCCCATCAGCCACAAGACTTCTGGGCACCAGCTCGATTACTCCCTTCCTTGCCAGCCTTGAAGGTCCCAGGCACCCTGCCCACCAGCTTGGGGTGACAACCCCCTCACAGAAAACAGAAGCATAACAGCACCCAGAGCACTGGCTGTAAAAGCAAGCAATTACCAGTCCTGAGTGGGGAACCTGGACCAGAGATGATGCTGGACAGTGAGACCTGGGACCCCTGAGTGGCCAGGGACACCCCCACCACCCTCAGCTTCCTCCGAGGATTGAGGGAGTGACTCGTGTTCTTTTATACGATTTGCAAGGCTAGATTATAATTGTTGTACTGATACAGCAAACCATGTATTAAAATTTGACCCAATTTGCAGAGGGTCCCGGTGATTAGAAATCATAAGTTAAGTTGTAATATAAATTCTGAGTTATGCTACTTATAGGTTGTACTAGTTTGATTCTGCTTGTAGAAATTCTGTGCCATTCTGATCACAAACTCTCTGTTACGCTAATCACAATATCCTGGTAAGAAAATAAAGCTTTAATTGTAACTATGATTTAGTGCCATCAACATTCTGCCAAGGAGCCCTAAAAGACCCTGTTTTCCCCCTCAGTGTTGGGTGATAGCGGAGCACCCTAAGAAACCCTAAATTGCCACAATAGGGTCGATATGGCTGGAGTTAAGAGGAGGAAGAGGAGCTGCACACAGCCAGCACTGCCCGAGCCATCCTAAGCCAGGCAACGTGCTCTGTTGGTGTCCCATTCTGGGCTGCCGGATTTTCATTTAAGTGTCTTTCGAAACTCAATACTGAATTCACCATACAGCAAGATTAAGCACTTCTGTGCAGGGAAACATGGAATAAACAACTTTTCTTTCTCTGCACCCTCCCCTTGTTCTGTGTCCTTGATGTATCCACATTCAGGAACTTAACGTCACCAGAACAAGATCTGCCTCCTACGGCTGTGTCGGTACCCTTTGGATTTACAACACTTCTGCTCTGGATGAGCTGTTATTTTCTCTCAGATCCTCTCTTCAGCAAACATTTTAGTTTGTATAATGCATTCTTTCAGCATTTTATCTTTTGAAGGTTTATGCACAATTAAGTCCCTGGCATCTTTGTTAATCCACGGATGGTTCTTATGCTGCACTGGCTAATGCATCAGCCATCGTACATGTTACATACCTAACCAGGTGCTGTCAACAAGTGTCAGAGATCCTTATTGCTGGAGGTAAATTAAGGTGGCTCTTCTTAAATTAAAACAAACAATGTGCTGAACACAAAGAGCAGCACCGCTGGTCCTTTCCCGCAGATGGGAACATGTAGTTCAAACTGTGACTCAAGACTGTGCATCATTTGAGTACATCCAGTGGTATTCAGGTTGGTAATAGAACTATGAACTCATAAAGACAGACCTCTATCAAACTTCCCTTGCTACACCAGTTGTGGCCTTATTACTAGCGATACATGCTAGCACAGCTTCTAAGTGTATGCCAAAATTATGCAGTTGTAATGCTGCTGATTTGGCTGTCACAGCTGACGCACTGGGCCCTGTGTCTTTAACATTCTGTGTACTACATACACATTTTGAGTTTATCCCTTAAATCCAGGCATAGCTGGCAAAATATATGTAGTATTTTTTACTGGTTTTGTTGCAACTTTGACTCCTACCCACTGGACTGTTTTGAATTCCTTGATATCAATTAAAGCCGACCATAGGCTTCTCCTATATTTTTTAAACTAACTTCAGCAACTAATTTGCTGTAAAATATAGACACTGTGCCAGGTTTACCAGCCCTAACACAGTAGGAATAGATGGCTGAACCTCCCCCACTGTTTTAAGAAGTGGAAAGCAACCACTTCTAAGATAGACTGATCCAAAATTAACTTTCCAAACCTCACCGTGTAGGTATTTCATCCTCATGGAATAAAATCTCAACCTGATTCAGAGTATGTGCTTCTTTTTTTTCATGTCTGTTTAAAGCTCATCTCTTGAACGCAGGCAGCAGAGTGTGAATGGTTTGAAAAAGGCATTCCAGCTCTCTCTTGAAACACCCCGCAGGCAATTTGTACAGGCAGCAGCACAGAGAAGAGTTTCGTCTCTTTTGGATTTGTAAGTGCTGCTGGGAACATCTGTGGAATTTGCCTTCTTCTGTCATTTATGGAGATCATGTGTCAGTTTAGATTTTGTCAGAGCTATGATAGAAGTAACTAGTCTGCTCCCCCCACTTCTCCTCATCGCTCTGCAGCCAGTCCTCTCTTAATAATTACAAAAATAACAAATTTGTAGATACTATTATTATTGCCACCTGGTATTAAAGTTGGATGAAAATTGTTGTTAAAGGACCAAAACATGATAAAGACAACACTTGAGTAATATTGCTTGCATAGAAAGGGACGGAGACTTTCCATTAGCATTCTTTTGACAGAGTAAACAGCTTCTGCAGAACTGGCATCTTCTGTGGCCAACAAACGCATGACTTCCTCCTGGATGGTACTTTAAGAAAACTAGTCTGATTTGATGAATTGATCTAAGGTACTTTCTTTTGAGTTAGGCCTACATTAAAACGGTCCAGGCTTGTTGTCCAGCCTCTCATCTCCTATTACAAGCCAGGATTCTCATCACCCCAAATTCACCAGGTCACACTGCACATTTTTCTCCATTTACGCCGTGTGATGTGTATGGGAGTCCAAAGTCAAACACAGAAATGTGGCTACTGGGCTCCCAAATCACAAGGTACCTAGCATTGCGCCCAGCTTTTTTAGACGGTGCTTCCCAGCACCTGCCTCTGAGCCTCAGGATGGCTTGCCAGAAAGCTCAGCAGCGATGCGGTGGCAGGGGATGTGGGGTCTGCCTGATCTGGAGGCTGTGCTGCATTTGCCATTGCAGGCAACCTAAACCTGCAAGTACAGACGAGAAGGTTGCCTCGGGACCACGCTCGGTAGGTGGCACAGGCACACCGTATGACTGCCCAAGTTTTCCATAAATGGAATGTATTACTGAACGTAAATACAAAAAAAAAAAAAAAAGTAGGGGGAGAGTAAACCAGTGGATTCAACAGAAACAAATGTTCCCAAGATTTTTCTTTCTATAAACACTTTTTTCATTTCAGGGTGTTTTTTTTCCCCTATAGCATATGAAAGGGAACATATGTTGGAATACTGGAATTTCTAGTTAAACCGTGACATGCATCTGCTCTGCTTAATAGATGTGCTTAGAAAACGAGCTATTCATTGTCACAGAATGTTGTATATTTGACCTTTATAAATATGACACGAATGAAGTGAAACGACTGTTTACTCCAGCCCCTCCCAGCCCTCCCAAGGACCAGAGGCCACTGTGACAGGTGCTGTGGAAATGAGCAGTAGGACCGTCTGTGCCATCAAAGCTTTGTGACTCCCTGACAAGCATGAAATCCACTTGTGCTGTTTGTTGTCTTCATTTCAGATGCTTTACTCATCATTAAAAGACATAACCTGTTCTTAGAGGTTTCTGCTTTCCTGTTGCGTTTGCTACATCACAGCTGAGTATGAACAGATTATACAAAACTTTTCAGATACATTAGTAAAATTTCCTGGACAAAAAGTAATCAGTTCATCCTTGCAATGCGTGAAGCCTCACAGTTGGCTTGGAAATAATTTCTTCATCTAATTCTTTTCCTGGTTTGATCTAGCACAAACTAGAAACTTCGTCTATTGATAAAGTGGCTCTAAAAGGACCATGTTTAACTACGGCTTCCAAATTTTAATTTATTAAAGGACTTAAATGAGAAATGTTTGATTAAGGTAATATCCCCAAGCTAACCATTTTGGCTAAGCAGAGTTAGCCAAAAACCATTTAGCCATCTCAGATACGTTTAAACATAATTAAATTAAAGTGATATTTGACAATGCCTTAAACATTTGTTAGGGAAAGCTAGTTTTGCCAAGATGACAGAACTTTATCCTTAGGCAGCTTCTTAAACTGAGAGCTTACTTGAGCAATGGCAAAGATTTCCAGGGCAAGCAGGAACAAGAAATGCAGAAGAAACCTTGGTCTGACTTACACTATGAAACTTGGACCAGATCTGTGTATACATACTAACAACCTTGTTAACAGAACAAGGGGTGCTGATAACTTACTAGCAGCTGCAAACCAAGACAGATATGCAGCCATCAGCTTCCTGAGAGCATTGTCATAGTTACAGATAAGGAGTAAATCATCTAAACAATGGTTTACAGTTACGTGCAGAGATGACAAAGTTTTATAGCCAGGATACATGGTTAACGTCACTAAATCCATGTCTCGATTTGATGTGAGTCTCTTTATTGACATTCCCAGAAGAAATTCAACATCTGCATACAAAGAAAAAAACCTCTGCCAATACAGTCCCTTCCAAACAACATCCCCTCCCTAACATACAACTGCATATATAAATGCGTATTCAGGCCCAGAAAAGGCTGGAAATCCAGAGAAAACTAGATAAGTATTTTCCAAGATCAATAAATATTTGGAGTTTACAACCAGGACTGGAATCAGCTTCTCACTGGTGTACCTTCTCCAAAAGACCCTTAAAAACTTTTCTTTACATTGAGTTTGAAAAATTATGCACTGAACGAAAAAAAATATTTAAAATTAAACAGAGAGTACAAAATCAAACATGTTGAAATAACAAAAAAAAAGTTAGTTGAAAATTACAGATCTAATCTAAAGCTCAAGTGAAATTAACAGAAAAAGTCCCACTGAATTTGATGGACTTTGGAGTTCCACAAGGCCTTGCACCATGTGCCAGGCAGCACAAAATCTGTTCTTCCGTACGCCCGTTAACCTCTTATTCCATGGAGACAGGGCGTTTGCCAAAATAGTTATAGAAAGGAAATAATCACATCCTTTCAGGATGTGTTTGGCACTGGGTCCAGAGGAGGGTCCGCCCGCCGGCTCCAGCATGGAGGTGCTTGCACAGGGCAGCAGCCACGGGGGGCTCAGCCCCAGCCTCGGCCCCAGGGGATGCCGACGGGGCTGCGCCGGTGCCAACGTGCTGCTGCGCTGGAAGCTGTGGTCAGCGCGAGCTGCCTTGACACTCTGGTTTTAGACGTGGAGGGGAGCATGAACATACCGGGATACATAGTGCAAAACACTCGTGCACGGGATGCACGAGTACGTAGTTGTCTTGTGAGCGCCCCAGCAGAGAGATAATAGACAACCATAATGATCTACATCCTGCAACCAAATGATGCTCTGTAGAGGAAAAATATTATCCAGAAAGGAATGGGAAATTGTGGAATATGTTTATCTGCACCAAGAGCCAGAACAGTAATCAGAAATTCTGCCTCCCGGTTTCTGACGTTCTTTTCTTCTTCCCTTTGCAGGCAGCCTGGATCCAACCCAGACCTTGCCACGCTTACTACGCCCTAACTCCACAAAGCACATTGTGACTGCAGAGGATCAGGCACATATGGCACGCTCCTTCCCCACCCTCCATAAACATTCACTGAAAGATGAATCCCTAACAGGGTTTTTTCCCATAACAGTTACTGGTGGCACCAGCCAAAGCACTGGGGAGGTGCAGCCAGCCCGGTGCAGCCACTCCTTCTCTCAAGGCTATAAATCCTCGGCAGGCTCCAGGGAGCAAATTTGCCACTGTCAGCCCCTGAGCTCTTCGCTTTACGAAGTGAGCAAGCCAGCAGGAAAGCAAGCAGGTTCATACTAGAACTGTTTTGTTTTGGCTAAGTTGGAGGGTTTTTTTTTTTTCATTGCTCTTGCCTTTTTTCCTCTTTTTTTTTTTTTCTTTTTTTTTTTTTTTTTTTTTCTCAACAGAAGTGGTTTGCATTTTGTTTTGGCACTTTCCATCAAAGCAGTTGCATCAGAAAATTCCTGACCGGCTCTAATCTTCATCAGTGCAGCTGTGCTGCGGTCGCGCCGCTACACGGCACAGCTGGTGACCGCCCCAGGACTTCCCCCGGGGCAGGCTGCGGGGGGGCAGGCTGACACCCTTCTGCTGGGGGGGGGCTCGCCCACGCTGCCAGCCGGGGCCCCCTGCTCCGTCCCAGGGTACGGCTGGCTGGTTTTGCTACGGGCATGGGATGGCCAACACTGAGTGCTTATTCCTGCGCCCACCGCCAAGGTCCCTGTCCACCTGTACGCCCCCGGGAGCCGCACAACTCTACCCTCACCTGGGAGAAAATCAGCTCTTAATTTTGTTTTTACACAAAAAATGAGTTTCTCTGGGTAGGCAGAGAAGCTGCTGCCAAAAGGATGAAAGGGCAAGAGAAGAGGTTTTCGAAGACCATGAACACAGGTGGTGGCAACCCAGCAGTAAAGGAGCAGGGTGATGTGCTTCCCAGCAGCACCAGTGCTGGGCAGGGCTGGATCCCCATGCAGGCACCGGCTGGCTGGCGTGCTCCAACTTGGCTTTGAACGTGGAGTTTGTTTGAAAAACAGCTTCTTGTGTTACAGCTCACAAAACCCAAACGGGGCCCATCAGCAGGTCTTTGCTGTAAACATGACAGCTCAGCACCTGCTGGAGGCTGGTAGGAAGGCCTGAAGGACTGCCCTCCAGTGGAACAGGCCACTCTTCGGAAATGACTATACAGCTTATAGGAAAAGATCATTAATCTTCACCATTATGGATAAACAGGTGCATTTTTTTAAACTTGACATGAGTTAGGTATAAGTCTCTGTTTTACCAGCTTCTTGCCATCCCTGAAGCAGGGAGCAGCAGCCGCTGCTCGGATTATCTCGCTAAATTGTGAACGTGGACTGGGACTACATTTGCTGCTAACCACACCGACTACAAATCCCTTAGAACTTGTATGCACTGAGGTGGCCAGGCAGGTTAAAATTGTCGTATCAAAGATCAAAAGGTCAACAAAGAAATTTGCCCCAAATCATGCCGTTGGTCTAATTATATTAATTATTATTACTTCTTTGTCATGTGCAAGCAGACATTTCGAACTGTTGGCTTTTTGCTACATTATATGTTTGTGCATTTTATTAGACTAATTTGAAAAATTCAAAATGATGAATAAATTGCCACTCTGTTTGCTTTATCTGCTGTTGCAGCCTATGCCCAACAGATGTCACATATGAAATTCAAATTACATCTTCAAATGGAGCATGACTTGGTAATGAATAATTCAAGATATATACTGAAAATTAGAATGCTGTTTTTAAACAGTGTGTTTCTTACCACAGGCAGTGTCAGTGGAAAAGTACTCACCTATTTATCTGGCCATTTTCCACCTCTGTGAAATCATTTGAATCATTGCTAATGTTATCATCTTCAGGGACAGTCATATTCTGCAATTCAGTCAGTTCTAATCCAGCTTTGAAAGGCATCCTGGGTGAGGAACTTTACCTATCCAAGTGTTTCTCCAAATATTAGTGTTTGGTTGGTATCTTGTGAGTAAACTGCAGCCACAGTGTCAGCAACCTAAATAAAACACAAGAAAAAACCCCAAGACGTATGTCACTGACAGCAGGCAATATCACCAGAAGAAACCTGTGAAACCTGGACAAGGAGGACTGTCCTTACCAACCAATTTTGTATTGTCAGAGGGACCTCAGGTTATAACCTAAATGCATTGCAGAACAGTAGTAACCTTATAAGCCTTAATGAGATCAACTTCACTAACCTTATAAATTTACCCAGTCCCGCAACCAACTGCTGAAAACAGTATTTGTATTTATAAACTAGTGAGCAAACCAATCCTATTCATTTCAAGAAAAAATATTAACTACCTATAAATTAAGGAATAAAAATTATTTGCTTGTCTAAGTCAGACCCATTTTGGTATTTGGTGCCCATCTACTGTATATTCTCCATTCTTACCTAAAAATATAAAATATATTATGTCCATGCTGTTGCTAAGTGAATGGAACAGGGGGGATAGAGTTATCTCAGTACTCTGTTCTACTAATATCTGTATTCCAGGTATTTGAACATATTATGTTTTTTTTTGGTAAAGAGGATGTACAGATGATGCTTTGTGTATGGCTAAACTTACTCTGAACAGGGGCAGAAACAGACAAAACCAAATCCCTAAGCTTACTTATCATAGGAAGAAAGAGTAATGTATATCTTGTGTCAAGCATTTATTATCTAGAGATCAGGTGATCTCTCCTCTGATAGATGTGTTGCATAAAAGCACCAAGAATAACATCAAAGACAGATCAGAGAAGTCTGCTAAAGTGACTTATTTCCTCATCAGCAATGCAAATCAACTGAAAGACCAATATTTTCCAGAGTCCAACCACTCTCAGCAGAACTACAACTCCAGCGTAGTGCTGAGGCAACAGGATGTTATTCACAAAACAAGCTCCCGCATCACAATTCTCAATTCCCATTTTGTGAATGAAGTTCCGGTAGTACTGCCAAACAACTATTCACCCTGGGGTACGTGGTGAATGCTCAGATGCCAGATTAATTTAGGGATATTTTCAAATTCTCAGGGCTACCACAAACCCATCAAACTGCTCGCATGCAACCGAAGAAGCAGGAACATCCCTGAATCTTGCAGGACACCATGTCAAGGCAGGAGGACAGAGTTCAATTGTTCAGTTATGACATCTGCCTGTTTCAAATTAAGTTTACAGGACCTAATACTTCTGGTTTTTACCACACTGAAAAAGGATCCCCACCATGGGGGAGGGGAGGGATTTGCAAATGGGTTGGTTTTTTCCCTGTACATACTTTCTCAGAAACGCAGTTTTAAAGTTTAGATGTGCTCTTAACATTTCCTCAGGAGCCCAAACTATCCAAATTTTGGGTGCAGAGTTTAAAGGCAAGCCTCAAGGCTTACAGTAGGACAGGATCTTTTATTTTCTAGTGAAGGAGCCAGTAGGCATGTGGCTATGGTGGCAGACAGGGCCTGGTACAACCTGGTGTGAGATGGTGTTGGGGGGATGTGAGCTGGAACCTCTTCAACTCTTCCTCTACAGAAGAGATTTCTACAACAGAAAGCAGGGGAGCAACTGGTTAGGTATTAAAATGTTGGCACAATTAAAAAAAAAAAAAAAAAAAAAGTTTAAGCCTGCTGATAAATAAATGCAGACTGGCAAGCAGAGGGTGGTTTTTAGCAGTGACATTCTGGAACTGTCTTCCCGGAGGCTGCAGGGATAAAATAGTCTACCTATTTTGAAAGAGAGGCACGATCTCTTTATAAAAGGATAAAGCCACAGGAGCCAGCGACTGCTGAGGTGGCAAGGACCAAGCCCGCTGAATCCTGAGGCTTCTTGTGACCAGGAGTTCCTCAAATAAACAATTCCTTAATAGACCTGCCAACCTCTGTACCGAGATCTGTATCCCCTGGCATATAAAACCTGTGTAAATGTTCGTCTAAGATTCAAGCAGAGAAGCTTTCCCTTTGGGCACCGTTTGCATCATGGTCCCCCAGGAGGATTTTCAGAACTGCCTTGACTTTACCTGTGCTTAATAAATTCCCCATTAAGTGTTTCAAAAGCAGGTGCTGAAATTAGCACTCCTGTGAGGTAAACTGGGTGCTGGAGAGCCGACTTCACAGCTCACTGACGTGCAGCTCCTGCTTCACCGTTCTGCCCCTCTGTAGCTGAAATGCTGCAAGGCCGGACTGGCAGGAAAATGGCTCCCTGGTTTATTTGGAAGGAATCTTTGCAGGGCAAAAGTGACAGCCCTTTTTTGTTTTAACCAAAACTCTGATTCTATGGAAAACTGATTGGATGAAGACACACCAAAACCTTAGTGCAAGCGGTGCCAGCTGAAGCACCAGCAATCGTTTCTGCAGATCCCAGGTTTCAAGCAGACGAGTTGCTCCTGAAGCAGCACGACACCAGGCACATCTTTGAATATGCCTCAGGTACTTGCTAGGCTAAGTGATTTACTAAAAAAACCCAAAACCCACCAAACAAAGCCCTGAAACAAAAAAACTGTTGTGTGAAATAATGCGTTACACTTCGAAGTATAAGAAAACCTGATCTCAGTGCCAAAACATAAGGAGGGTGAAGGGAGAGTGGTAGGGCTGGGGACCAAAACTTTCACTGTCACAGCATGAACTCATTGCAAATCTTTGGCAAAGGATAACCACCTCATCCTTAGCACCTCCATCTGTAAAATTAAGATGATAATAGCGACAGTAACACTCACTTTGTGAAGCGCTTGCAGATTCAGAAGGAAAGGGTGACAGAAGTGTGATACCTGGAAAAAAACACTATGCAAACTGCAATTTTTTTTCAAAGATAACTTTACCTTAGATACATACCAAGCAAACCCTTTGTCATTGCCAATCATTCTAGGCACCCTCCACAGTCAGTGGTGGCCACACGTATTTCACCCCCAAATCATCTATTTTAAATTTCAGGTTCATGGATGCAACAAATCATGGAATCTAAATAAAATCTATAATCCCAAAGGGTAGGGCTCACGTCAACCAGCTTTATTTCCTACAAGTTGGGTGCCTGCTCCAAGCTTGTCACCTGGCCACCACAGAGGAGCCTGGCGCTGCCAGAGGACAATTCGTCCTGGCCCACGGGAGGGGTTTGCAGCCACGCTGAGCCACTCCCTGCAAATGCAATAGCTGTGCTCCCAAAGGGAGCTTTGACACTGGGACATCTGAGCTAAGCAAGTCACTACCTCAGGTATAGGTGCCAGTAATGCTGTGGGAAGGAAAAAAAATTGCTTCAACTAATAAAATTCACCATATGTTGATGCTGACCTATATTGGAAGCAGCATGGTAATATTTGTACTTTAAAGGCCTTTTCATTCAAGAAATGTAATGAAATAAATGCAAATAAAAACGACATGTTGGCAAAAGTTCCTAGACTGAGCTTTACTCCTAACTCACATTGAAAGGCTGTAAATAATAATCTGAAGAGTGATTGTAACAATCCCAATCACTTCCACTCACTGTGCCTACTGCTCTGCCCAGCCTTAAACCTCCCAAAAAGAAAACTTCCAGAGACTTGCCATCAAACCTCTCTCTCCAGACACACATATAATAAATCAACAATAAGAAATAAGAATTTTGCTCTTACTTCAAACTTTTCTACTCAGATAGGCAAACACTCCTTCTTGAAGCAGAAGTCACCCCGAGAGAAAACCAGGAAAGGGCTAATGACCCTTCTTTCAAAGGAACCTCAAAGTTCTGTGTTTGGTAGCTGATCCAGCCCCTCCATTTAGTAGAAAAAGCACTGCTCTGGCCTAGGAGCTTGGCTTTCCCTTTAAATATCCCATGACATGACTTGTAAAACCCATTATGGATAATTTATTCATCGTGTGCTCCTTGCAGAGTATGGGAAAGATTACCACTGGTCACAGACTTCAGAAGGAGGACTGTGAGATGACACAAAAAGATAAAATTAGTTTATTTTTCTCAAGGACACTGAGACCTTCATAAGCCATTAAAACACATTCCAAGAACTGGGGTAATTTTCTCCATTGCCTTCAAAAACAAAACAAAACAAAACAAAACAAAACAAAAAATCCCTACAACTCCAGTATTCTGAACTGTTGAAATTCCACACCAGCAGTAATGGGCTCAAAAAGTTTGTATTTGAAAAAAAAAATATGGCAATACAGACAACCTAATTTCTGGGTAGTACCTGGAAGAGGTGTAATCTGAGAAAACACTTCACTAGAAGTTGAGTTTATAACAGTAATATCACCGCTCCTGGTGGTAATGGTGATGGCTTAATTCACAGGCCTTTTTTTTTTTCATATCCTGTAAATGACATCATTCAAAAAGTGCCATCTTAAAGACACACGGCTGCCCAAAAGCTGACCCAGTACATGAGAGGAATTTGGGTACATGGTCAGGCTGGACACCATCTCGCCTGCCTCTGGGTATGGTTTTTGTCACGTGCCCTTGCACACTCACCAGACACTTCATTCACTGCACACTTCCCGCAGTCAAAACGTCTCAGGGATGGCAAATATCCAAGACACGATAAGCAATTTTAACTATGGAATTCAAGATAATTTGCTTAAAAGCTGAAATATGACTCAACTTTCTTCTCAAAGGGAGTTTTGCCAAGAACTCCTCTTGGTCCATTACAAGTCATCAGAATCCAGTGCTTGAGTTTCACACAAGCTGTTTTTATTCCTGTGAAGCCTGAGAGGTGATACGTCTTTCTTTGCTCATACTTTTCAAAGTTCTTTCAAAGAAGAGCAATATGACCAGTAAGACACCATGGATATAAATAATGAAACACTGAGCCTGCAACTCTGTGTACGGACTATTCACTTAAATGACAAAAAGCTATAATAGGCTTTATACGTAACAGTATCACGTTGGGAGGCGGGGAAGCAACTATCTCCTTTTTGTTCAGCATTAGTGACACCTGACATGTGGAACACAAAGCTCTTGATGTACTCCTCGTCTACAGGAAGGACAAAATGGAGAGATTAGAGAAAAGCCACCAAGATAACAAAGAGCTTGGAAATTAAAGACTGACTCACATCCACAGAGCAAACATCTGCAGTGCCTGAAATGTCATTGCCTCCAGCTCCTCGGTACTGCCCCTCTGCAGCAGGCTGCAGCCGGGGGAGCAGCGGAAGGAAGGGGGTTCACCCTGGCCCCACCAGTGGGCTCGAGGGTGCCACAGAAAACCACCAAGGTGCCAGCACACACCCGTCCTGCCCACCGACAACGCTGCCAGGCCGAGGGCAGTGTGGCAGCCAGAAGGCCTTCCAGCTGCTGCAGCTGTTTGCTTGGCGGCTGCAAGCCATCACCTTTAATTTCCAGGCTCCTTCTCTCTCACACAGCCCCCATGGTGCGAGGGATGGAAACAGTTAAAATATAAGGCCGGGGGGAAACAAACAAGTGGCAGAAGACTTGAGAAGGAAGCTCTGAGAAGGATGCTGTAAAAGAGAAGCAATGAGCACAAATGTGGATTCTCAACCTCTCTCTCGGTACTGCGTGACCTTGTGCTTCAACAGGAAAACGGTCCTGCTCTGCCCCATCGCTCTCCACTCTGCCCTTCCATGCTGCCATAAGGAAAGGGAAGACAGTCCCAGATTAAGTCTCGACAGGCTACTCAGCTGATCAAAGGCAGGCAAATAAGAAATCATAAAATCCCAGTCTGATTCACCCAGTGATTCATTACTTTAGGCAAAACACTTAAAGATGAGCCATAAAGGAAAATGGTTTTAAGTACATTTTTGTTTTGAGCCCTTCCCAGCCAATTTAGGGAAGGCATTTGGCAGAGGAATATAGTCACATTTTTTCCTAATTATATTTCTCTGTGAAATCCCCTCAACAGTCCTGGTTTTGCTGAAGAGATCCCAGAACGCACGACCACAAATAAACGAACTCTTGTCTTCCACAGAAAGTGGAAGCGCTGTTCGAGGCGGGCTTTATGGGTTACAGCAACAAAATAGCCTATCCAGATGTATTTGTAAGGGCTAAAGCAGCTCTGAAATTCTTATTTAAAGTAATTTTTGTACTAGAGAAGAACCCTTTGCATAAGTTCATATGTAACTCTCTTTTCTTTCTGCCCCAATTTACAAGTAATTTCTTTGTTTCAGTTTTCATGACTGTAAGAGGCTCAGAGTGTTATTTACCTGATAAGCTTACACAGATATTAAGTGAGTTAACTGCAAAAGGGCCAAGAAACACTTCAACATGAAAAAAGCTGCCATTTTTCCCAAGAGTGGCCACTCAAACTTCTTGGGTTGGATTAAGGTCAAAGCAATAAATAGCTATCAGAAAGGAAACTGAATTCGGGCTTAGAACATTTAAATATTCCCACAACATCTCATCTGCCTTCACAATACAAATTTTTAAAGCAGTGGTTATTGTCACACTATGTGCCAAGCGTGATTCTACAGAAATGAGTGAGCTGTGAAAAAGACAGGGGAGAGCATGGGAAGAAGAGTCCCGTTTCTGCTCAGTTATTACTCTATTACTCTTCCCCTGGTAAAAAACAAACCCCAAAACCAGAAAAATCATGAGGAAGTGTAGGACAGAGACCCAGGATTAGCAGCCCGCAAGCAGACAGGCTGAGAAAGGCCTGCCACCCCCTTCAGCCTTTAAAACCCTTGTAAAAAGCAGGATTTGGACACGAAGGACAATTGATCCTCCATGTTCTGTGGCAGTCTGCAGAAAGCCTCGAACAACTCGGAGGATAATCCTCTGCACAGGGGTATGTGGAACATGGTGCTCGCTGCCAACACGTCTCCTGTCCTCACTGGGGCTGGAGAGCACAGTTGGTCCAACTAAAGCATAAATAGTCTCAAGTGACAAGCCAGAGGATGCTGCAGTGTGCTTCAGTGAAGTGCTCTCTCTACGGTGCCTCTTAAAAAGAAAAAAAAAAAAAAAACCAAAACCAAAACAAAACTGCCAAATAACCAACTTCTGAAAAGGCAAAGTCAAATAGGAGTCATTCAGTACGACAGTGAAGCAGATCCCATTTTAGTCAGTGAATTTCCACCAAGCCACAGCAGAAGGCCTCTGCTCACCAGCAATATGGCAATTCCTAGATTTCAGACAGGTTTTGCCGGTTGATTTCAGTGCAATTTCGTCATGGGCTCCCAGCCTGAAAAGGGCAGTTACTGATACAGCAACAGAGGGAATTACCTTTTAGAGGATTTTTAAACAAAGTTGGTATTTTGGTGGCAAATAAAGTAAAAGTTAGATGGAAGGATGCTCTTTATTTCTCACCCTGTAGCTCTTTTTACTTCTGATCTAAGACTGCTGGACTCAGAATGCGGGTTATTTTTTTTTAGTTCCAGAATGTATTTTATCAGTTAACAAGGATCTTTCTCTAATGTTTTACTTTTAGAATAATGGCTGGTCCATGTTATTTTGCCTTTTCGAGCACGTGTAAAACCCAATCAAACCTAAAGGTGAATGAAGCACCACAAAGCACATCTGGACTATGGGGTTAGTAGAAATGCCCCACAGCAGTCCGTGGGACACTGAATAACCACAGGATATGTGGTGGGTTCAGCTGGTGGCACAAGCAGACTATAGCTTCGCTTTCCATAAAACCAGCTGCCAAACATGGGGTTTATTTCAGTCCTTCTAACATCCCCTAAACAAAGCATGGGTTTACAGGTCTCCTCTCTCACAGGGAGACACATCCTAGCTACAGGTTGCATTACAAACTGCAAAACAAGAGAACAAACCGTGAGAGCAAGCTGGACGGACACACACGTGAGCAAATGCACAGCCAGGCGTTCAAACCTGCCCCTTTTTGTTCTCTCCTTGGCTGATTACAAGCCAGCAGCCTAGCTGTTACTATGTATTTACGGGCGCGCACACACACACACACACACGCACACGCACACGCACACACACACACGCGTGCGCGCCGTGGGCCCAGCCCGCATTTTAGGAATGCCGTAGAACTTCCACTGACCCAGTGGCAGCGCTGGGTGGAAGAGAAAGGCAACCGCGCTCCCCCGCACGGCAGGGCTCAACCCACGGCCGCGCATCTTGCGGGTCTGCGGCACACGCGGCCCGGCCATGCCGAAACTAATTTTATTATTTTTATTATTATTATTATTATTATTGGTTTTGGCGCTCCCAGCGAAAGCTGCGTACTGCTGTTTTTCTGCTTTTCTTTTTGTGATTCTTTAAAAAAAAAATATATATATATATATATATTTTTTTTAAAGGCACGCCGCAGCGGCTCGCTACAGCAGCCCCCCCGCAGCCGCCGGGAGATGCCGCATGGCCGGCTCCGTGGGTGTGGGGGGGTGCGTGTGCGTCCCCCGTCCCCTCCAGCCCCGCGACCCCGCCGCAGCGATGCCGCTGCGCTCCCCTCTCCCCTCCCCGACTCGCTGCGCGCATTTTTTAGGGTTTGAAATCGGCAGCGCCCGGGGGCGAGGGGGGGGGGGGGGAGGGGAAGGAAGAAGTTGGGGGGGGGGGGGGGGGCCGCCGGCTGCGCACAGAGCGGAGACAAAGCGCGGCAGGCGGCGGGCTCCGGCCCAGGCTGCGCGGCCGCGGCGCGGAGACAAAGGCTGCGCGGGGAGCCGCGTCCCCCTGTCCACACCCCCCCCCCCACACACACACACTTCGGATTGCATCAGCTGCTGCCTACCTTCCCGAGGAGCCGCGGGGATCCCCCGAGGAATAATCCACCCCCTCCGGTGGGAGCCGGCCGGAGCACCCCGACAGATAATTACAGTATTAAGAATAAAATAAAATTAAACAAAAAAAAAAAATTAAGAAAAAGGGGCGAGGACGGGGGGGGAAATTAAATTGGCGAAACGAAGACAGCGAGGAAGATGCCGCTCCTCCTCCCGCCGCGGGTGTGTGCGTGTGGAGGTGGGCGGGCGGGCGGGCGGGAGCGCGCCGGGCGCGCCCCCGCGCCGGGCCGGGGCCGCACCACCAGGTGCTGCGGGGCGCGGAGCCCCCGCGGAGCCGCCCCCCGCCCCCCACCGCCCCCCCCGGGGCCGCCCGGTCACACGTGGCCCCGGGCAGGGCACCCGCGGGGCTCCCCGGCACCCCCCCGCTCCCCGGCCGCGCGTACGTTCAGCACTTTTTTTTTTTTTGTTCTTTTTTTTTTTTTTCTTTTTTTTTAAATTTTTTAACTCTTTTTACAACAACAAATATATATATATTTTTTTTTCCCTCTCTCTTTTTGCGCTACTGCCGGCCCACAGGAGAAGCCCTCCTGGCAGGCAGGCTGGATTTTTGTGGCGTTTTCCCTGAAATGGCCACAGAAGATCTGGCATCATCATGTTACCCAATTTCCTGTTTCATCATGCAAAATGTATATGCTGAAAATGCTGCCATTTGTGCGAGAGGTCAGAGCGTTTCCAACTGGGGCAAGACACGCTTTTCACAGATAAAGGGGAATTTAATGCACAGATGATTTGCTGTAGCTTGTTACTTCCATACTAATCTCTAGAAAGCATTGTATGGAGCTTTTTGGCTTGGAAAAAAAACTTTTTAGGAACAGACCTGAAGGAAGATGATATTGCAGCTGTGGATTTGAGGCCACAATCTTTGGTTTCACCCCATGCAGTGTATGACTTGCATGGGATGCCACGAGGCAAAGAGGGAAGGGACACTGGAGCGTGGGGCTTTGGGGGGCAGCTTGCCTGGCCGTCTGCGGAGGGGGGTCTGGGAAGCTCTCACGGTAACTCTGCCAGCAGCTTCTTGAGGTGTTTGCTCTGGAAGTTCCCTTACCGTGTCTCCCAAATGTCAGGCCGAAAAGACAGATGACACACACGAAGAACTGTGGTTTTCAAATTACTATCTTTGCATGTACAAGTTGGATTCCCATTTTGGTGCTTGTATTGCTTTTTTTTTTTTTTTTTTTTTCACTAGGGTAGTTCTTTGAATGTGAAGCACTGTGCAAACAGTAACTTAATGAGCACCCATCGCACCCCACTATGACGAGAGCCGTATCATCCCAGTAGTGAGGGTGAAGGCAGAGGAAGAACTAGCTGCCCAAGGTCGTTAAAACAAGGGCTCTTTCAACACTTCCTCATGTGAATAAACCTCTCTGACGTTCACAGCAGCACCCTGTGTAGCCCTACAAAAATTTCAGGTTGTCAAAGGATGTGGGGTTGGATTCCAAGTCAGGGGCTTGACTCCCCATCCAGGCCTATGGGCAAAGCACTGTGCCCAAAAGCTGAGAAGAAAGTATTTGCAATTCACTCTTGCTCAATTAGACTTATTTCTCCTAAACTGACAATCAACCTCCCCTCTAACTTACTAAATGAAAATGTGTATTATGCAAAGACTGTGGTCAGATGATACTGTTGGAGGGAATAAGAAGAAACTCTACTTTGTTTCTTTAAAACTAAATGTGTATCAGGCTGAGTATCAGGCGAACAGTCGTTGATATGATGCTTTCTGTTATCACCATTCATTTTATACCTGTAAAGACGGGTGTTTCCTAACCTGAGAGATAGTTTGATTCTCACCTTGTCATGAATATTCTTAGAACCAAGGTAATTATTTTTCACAGAATTTGGGAAAAAAAAATCTTTTTATCGTATCTTAACAGCTCCACAAAACTAATAGTACTTCTCAGAAATGAAAAATATTTTACTTTGCACTTTTAATATTTCAAATTTCACTACTCTCCCTCTCAATATCTTTCTGATTTTTGGCACTGTTGGTTCTGTTTACCTTGATATGCTGTGAAACCTTGATGCTTGTGACCAGCATCTTCTAATTCTAGCTTTTATGATTTCTTGTAAGTTTTTTTTTCAATAGGTTTTCATGACATTCACTGCTTATTGACCTCATTCACTCCTCCTGGACCTTTCTATTTATGCTTTTCACTTATAATTTCATTCCTCTACCTGGTTTCAGATATTGGAATCCAAAGATACAGGAATTTGCTTTTATATTTCAGGCCCATCATTTTTCTTTCTCTTGTCCATCTAGAACTGGCAGTTCTCATCTTGGATGCTTTTCAATGCACTTTTATCTAGTCAGAATGGATCCTGTTCTCTTTCCTCTTAAATAGCCCTGAACATTTTTCTGTCTGTGATAACACCATTCCCATCCTTCTTTTGTTCAGACCTGCAACTTCCAAATGTTCTTTTGATTATATTTCAGCTCCCTAAAATGCACCAGCAGCCACGTTCATTTTCAGAACTACACTCTGAAGTGCAATGTGCTTCCAGAGTCTGGAAAATTCCCTTCTGAACTGTCCTTCAAAAATTTATGCTTATTGACTAACTTAAACTGTCTAATGGGAACTGCAGGTATGCAACAAATAATATTCCTACATAATAAAAGTGAGCTTAAATCAAAAGACACCAAATACTTATTCAGTTGACTAAATTATCACATGTGTGACAATTTGGCAAGCTCCTCCATGCACAGTTTTTAAATGTTGTTTGATTTGGGGTGCTTTTTATTGAAGGTGGGGCTTGGTTGGCTTCTTTGTTGTCTTTTGCTTCCAAATTGCAGTGAAGCCTACAAGAGATTCCAAGCACAATTCTTGCACTTGGCACAAAGCTGATGACAGAGGGTCATTAAATTTGGATGATTACCCGTTCAAATATTTTACCCTTGGGCAAATATATGGCTACAGCCCAGGGGAATGCAGATGCTGGTGTTGGAGGTAGCTGTGCTCGGGGCGAGGGGATTCATGGCTGACGTGACAAGCCTGGCAGGAGGAGCTGGAGGTGCTTACAGAGTTCTCTTCACCTCTATTTTAGTACATCCGTCACTGGCATGTTTGAACTTACGTGTTAGTGCTTGTGCGAAAGAGAGGCAAATAAAAGAGAACAGATCAGAAGTGGAAAGGCAGCTGAAGAAGAAAAAATCCTCTGTTTTGCAGAGAAGCTGCTTGCTGCCAGAAAGTGACCTTGAACATCCTCGAAGTCTCTGACTGGCCTTCAGGAATGGCCAAGAGTGATGAGGAAGCACAGAGTGTAGGCAGTGGCTATTTTTGCACCTCAGTACTACACCTAAATCTTGTTCTAGTTGAACTAAAATGCACACAGACTTTTGGAACTTTTTTTGTTTGATTTTGTTTTTTGGAAAGAAGACTGGGTCCATTTGCTGCAGAGAGCCCACAAGTACAGGTTTGATAAGGCAGCATTTAAGCTACAGGACTGCTCACAGGAGGGGGCAGTACTGGTCCTCTTTTAAGAAGTAGTTAGACAGTGAGATCCTCTTCCCACCAAGGCTTCACAGAGACTGTGGGCTCAGAAAGTGTTACAGATGTGCTGCAAGGAGGAATAAAGTCCTGTTACCTACTCGGGCTGTGGGTCTTTCAAGTCCACATGGGACCCACTGAGGTGGATGAACTCTTCCATGGTGGTACAGCAAGCTCTTAAGCTGCCTGGTGCAAATTTCTTCTTAGAAATAAATTAAAATTATCAACAAATATGTATGGTTTCTCTAGTCTGCGATGCCAGGATTTGCTATCAGACAAAAATAAAGGTTTCTTGGAAATCTACTGCCATCTTACTGCAGGTAAACAGGTAGTTTCTACTACCCTGTTGCTAGCAGGGTCCTGACGTTGATTCTGTGACATTAGCTGAGAAGGAAAGCCTAGCAGCTGAGCAAGGAAAAACATCATTGACTACGATGCATAATGCACGGTCTGTACATGACTGGTCTTGCACGATACTCTGAAAAGAACTGCCCACACTTGTCACACATTTTGTGAACACTGATAGCATCAACTGTGTTTAAACATGTGTTCAGCCGCCTCCAACTCTGCATGTTGAGACAATCAGTTTTCGAGGGCTGCAAAGTCTTGCATGCATGTCTGCGACTCTGTGATCATGAGATGTTATCGTTTGTTAGTTTCCTGGCCAAAGTGTGGTATGCAGCTACAATGACTAATCCTGGTTTTATAGAAGGAGTTCTCCTCTGCTCTTCCTCTTTAGATTCAGGATTTAATGCAATGAACCAGGCAGTTGTGCTTTTTCTCCTTACCTTTTGATCACCTGCTCTGAAAGGTTTCAAACTTCTTGCACGAGGCTAAGGAAATATTAGTGACTAAAACAAAGGGATTTGCAGGTATGATACTTTAAAAGTATGTGTAACAAAATGTTCTTTTGTTTAATCACTTTTAGGGTGTTGCTTTTTACTGTCAATTTATAGTGTTATAGACAAATTTACATGGTCTGAGTAGACCATAAAACTTTGATCTTTCTGAAATGAGTAGATTCAGACTTTGTCAGTTCACAGCACAAAGAGGAGATCCTCTCTCCCCCCCAGAAAAGGATATTTTTTTGCCATTCCATTTGTATAGAATAACTTTAAAGGCTTGCTCAGTGTATTGAGCGATAATACCTCTTATGTCAGGTTGCCAGTAATGGTCCTGTCAACTTGTAACTCCTAGTGCCAGAATAAGGCATGGCTATGGAAGATGTAATGCATCCAGAAACATTAAATAATTGATAACTATTGTGAATTAAATCATACTAAAGATAATTTCTTTAATCCAGGACTGGCCTGATAGTGCATAGCCCAGTAATTGAATTCTCCTTTGTTAAAAAAGGAGAGATTAAAAGATACATATATAAAAGAAAATAAAAGAATTTGAAAGTTTAATTCAGAATTTGGATGCCAAATATTATATATCTAAATCCATATCACTAATTAGAAGCTTCTGAAGTTGCTGAACATCTCTTGCTCTTGCTTAAATCTATGGGAATTGAGGGAACTCACTGTCTCTAGAAATCAGAGTGCTCATTTATCTGACTATATATGAAATTAGATGCTAGCCTGTAAGTATCCCTGTTGCACATTGACCTTATTGTAATCCAACAATAACATGTCTCAGAGAAAGTTGTGAGACCAGGAAACATCATAAAATGAGTGAAGTTGAGAAAAAAAAGGGCAAATTATTATTTTTGACAATTCCTA